CGATCTGCACAACCGTCGCCACTTTCGTGGGCTCCTGGGAGGCCCAACGGACGTACGTCCCACGCGGACCACATCGAGACCGCGCTGCGCCCTGGGGGGCTGCGATCTGCGCAACTGTCGCCACTTTAGTGGGCTCCTGGGAGACCCAGCGGAAGTACGTCCCACGCGGACCACCTCGAGACCTCGCGGCGCCCTGGGTGGCTGCGGTTTGCGCAACGGTCGCCACGTTCGTGAGCTCTTGGGAGGCTCAGCGGAGGTACGTCCAACGCAGACCACCTCGAGACCTCGCGGCGCCCTTGGGGGGCTGCGATCTGCGCAACTGTCGCCACTTTCCTGGGCTCCTGGGAGGCCCAGCGGAAGGACGTCCCACGCGGATTTCTCGAGATCTCGCGGTGCCCTGGGGGGCTTGCGATCTGCGCAACGGTCGGTCGCCGCTTTCGTGAACTCCTGGGAAGTACAGCAGAGGTACGTCCCACGCGGACCACCTCGAGACTTCGCGGCGCCCTGGGGCGCTGCGATCTGCGCATCTGTCGCCACTTTCGTTGGTTCCTGGGAGGCCCAACGGACGTACGTCCCACGCGGACCACATCGAGACCGCGCTGCGCCCTGGGGGGCTGCGATCTGCGCAACTGTCGCCACTTAAGTGGGCTCCTGGGAGACCCAGCGGAAGTACGTCCCACGCGGACCACCTCGAGACCTCGCGGCGCCCTGGGTGGCTGCGATTTGCGCAACTGTCGCCACTTTCGTAAGCTCCTGGGAGGCTCAGCGGAGGTACGTCCAACGCAGACCACCTCGAGACCTCGCGGCGCCCTTGGGGGGCTGCGATCTGCGCAACTGTCGCCACTTTCCTGGGCTCCTGGGAGGCCCAACGGAAGGACGTCCCACGCGGATTTCTCGAGATCTCCCGGTGCCCTGGGGGGGTGCGATCTGCGCAACGGTCGGTCGCCCTTTCGTGACCTCCTGGGAAGTACAGCAGAGGTGCGTCCCACGCGGGCCACCTCGAGACTTCGCGGCGCCCTGGGGCGCTGCGATCTGCGCATCAGTCGCCACTTTCGCTGGCTCCTGGGAGGCCCAGCGGAGGTACGTCCCACGCGGACCACCTCGAGACCTCGCGGTGCCCTGGGGGGCTGCGATCTGCGCAACTGTCGCCACTTTCGTGGGCTCCTGGGAGGCCCAGCAGAGGTCCGTCTTACGCGTTGCCGCTGCTCCTCTTGCTGCGCTCTTCTGAGTTCACTGATGGGTGCTCTTCTTTCGCACTGCGTTTTTTGTTTTGCCAGCATGCCCGTCAGCATTGAGTGGTCCCGAATGTAACCACCACGTGTATAGAAAGGGTTGGGCACGTCGCAGGGTAATTATATTATCTAAACTCCCTATGGCTGCTGCAAGCGGGCAATCAAGGCTTGACACTTTTCATTGTCGATGTCTACACAACAGATTGGGCATCACACGTTCCTTCTACTCAAGAGTCTCAAACAAGACTGTCTTGGAGCGGGCCAGCGCTATACCATTATCAACTTCATTGGCTGACAAACAAGTTCAACTGTACAAGAGAATCGGTTATTCTGGGAATGGTTGTTGAGCGAAGCGCGTCATATACAATGCAAATCGCACGCCGAAGTATTAGGCGTTGAAAAGAGGCCGAAGCAGTCCTAGACAACAATGGGCTGCATACGTGTATAAATTGGCAGACACTTCTGTGTGAATCCTTCCTCCTCCCTCCTCTTGGAGGGTGACTGTGGGGGTCGGGCGCAGGGGCCCGGCAATGATGTCTTCATGGGCCATGAATGGGCGATACATCCTTGATTGCTGTTTTCGGCGGGGGATCCAATTGAAGCCCCCCGCTTGCACCCACGCGCGAGACTTGAGGGAAAAGGAAGCAAGGAGGCGGGGAGCTCGGGAAAGGCGACGAAGGCAACGTGCGCAGAGGGCGCAACAAGAAAAGGCTGGAACAAACGAAAGCGGTCAAGTGAGTGTCGAAATCTGCCCAGCCAATCTGACATGCGGAACACTGCGCCTCAGTTTGGGGGATCTTGAAGGCCAGGGCAACATGTGAATTCACATTGTGGGGAAAAGCAAAAAGTGAATTCACATTTTGGTAAAAAGTAAAATGTGAGTTCAAATTTTGGAAACAAGGGGAATGTGAATTCACATTTTGGAATTTTGTATAGGATTATTTATAAAAGGGGCCAGAATGTGAATTCACATTTTGGAGAAAAAAGGAAACTGTGAATTTACATTTTGAGCAAAAGAAAAATGTGAATTCACATTGTGGGGGAAACGCGGGACCCATTCCAAATCTGTCTTGGGGGTCGAGAAAGCATCGTTTGGGAACATACGCGATCATCAATCGCACAATCAAGACACACTTGCACTCCACTTCGCCGCCCCACGCACAATATGCAAGAACGCCCGCACGCATGAACGATAATGGGTGGACGGCGCGTGTGCCCGCGCGGGCAACGCGCGGGCACGAACGACTGGCCCTCAATGACCACCAACATTGGATGCCAATCGTACCCGATCACATACATGAGCGATACATTGAGCATACATGGGCCATTCAGCCCCCATTGAAGACCCCTGTTGCAGACCCCCTCTTTCACCCTCCAATCCTCCCCCCTCGGCGCGTTTGGCGATCCAGTTCCTGGCGCGTTTGGCGCTCTGTTGCGAACTTGTCCGGCGCGTTTGGCGCTCCAGCTGCCGTTGCCGACGCACATCTTATCTCTTCCACTCGGTTGCCAACGACGCAACCTTGAGTCTGCCGACGCGTCCCTCTGGATGCATGGCTGAGCGAGCGAGCGAGAGTCAGACGGGCCATGAGCCCACCAAGACGGCCCAAGATGGCTCCCAGATGGCCCAAGACGGCCCAAGAGGCCCCCAAGAGTTCTCCAAGACGGCCCACGAAGCCCCCAAGAAGGCCTCCGGGAAGGCCCGAAGAGGCAGAAATCCTTGACTGTTTCTAGGTGTTTGAAGGATGTTGGCGTTTGCTTCTTTTCGGCCTTTCGACAGCCCGAGGCGGCCCAAGATCGCCCCAAGATCGCCCGCGAGGCCTCCAAGAAGCCCCCAGAACTGCCCAAGAGGCCCCGAAGACGGCTCCAAGAGTGCCTCAAGAGGCCTCCAAGACGCCCAACATGGCCTCCAAGACGGCCCCGGAGCACCCCAGGAGGGCCGCAAGTCGGCCGAGAGAGGCCCCCAAGACGGCTTCCGACGGCGTCAGACGGCCAGGAATACCCTAAGACTGACGAAAAAGCATCCAAGAGCCCCCAAGGGCCCCCAACAGGCCCAAGGAGGGCCCCGTAATGCCTCCAAGAGGCTCCCAGGAAGCTCCCAGGAGGCCCCAAGAGCGCCCCCAAAGGCTCCCAAGATGCCCCCTCCTCCTCCTCCTCGTCCTCCGCCTCATCCTCCTGATCTTCCCCACCATCATCCCCCAAGTGTTCCCCGACGGGTCTACACAACGTCTGGGGAGCACATGGTACGATAGCTTGACAGAGCTCACAAGGCTAGGCCACATGGGCGATTCTAAAGACAGGGATCGGCAGTCATTCGATGTAGGCCTCTTCAATCCGCCGCCCCCTGTTGGCTTGCTATAAGGGTGGCTGGCATGCTGGATACTTTGAAGTTCTGTGTTTCTAGCCCCCCCTGGGGCGTCGGCCGATGCATCCGGCCACCCGGAAGGCTGCGTTCGAGGTGACTGCAAAGGCTTTTCCGTCTAGATGGCTCCAAGATGGCATCCAAAACGGCCAAGATGGGTCTCAAGTTCGCTCAAGATAATCCAGGAGGGCCTCCAAGACGGCCCAAGATAGTCCAAGATGTCTCCGAGTTCGCCCAAGAAGCCACCAAGACAGCCCAAGAGGCCCCCAAGAGGCCTCCAAAAGGTGCTCCAGGAGGGCCCGAAGAGGCCAACATCATTGATGTTCCATTGGTTTTTGGCATACGGTGGCATGTGTTTCTTTTCTGTCTTCAGACTGCCCGAGACGGCCCAAGTGCCCCTAAAGATCGCCCCAGAGGCCTTCAAAATGACCCCCAAACGGCCCAAGAGTCCCCCAAGAGGGCCTAGTCGGCCAAGGGGCCTCCAGGATGACCAACATGGCTTTTAAGACGGCCCTGAAACGCCCCAAGAGGACTCCACCCAAGTCAGTTTAGGAAGGCACCAGAAATGACTTCCAACGGCGTCATGCGGGCCAGGAACGACCTAAGACGGGCAAAGAAGCCCGCAAGAACCCCCCCCAAGATGCCCTCAAGAGGCCCCAGGAAGCTCACAGGAGACCCCTAAGAGTGCCCCCAGAGGCTCCCAAGATGCCCCATTGCTCCTTCGCCTCCTCCTCCTCCTCCTCCTCCTCCTCCTCCCAAGATCGCGCCAAAACGGCCAGCGAGGCCCCACAAGAGAGCCTCAAGACAACCTTAGAAAACTCCAAGGGGGCCCAAGCTGCCCGCGAAGACTACCCAGGAGCGCCCCATGACGGCTCCAGACTGCCCCAAGAGACTCCCCAGACCGACAAGAAGGCCCCAAGACGGCTCAGGAGAGCCCCCAAATTGCCCAAGAGGACCCCAAGACGATCCCAAGACGGCCCGAGAAGCCTCCAAGACGGCCACACGTCGCCCCAAGAGAGCGTCGAAATAGCCCAAGAGGCTTCCCAGACGGTCTTGCGACAGCCCCAAGAGGGCCCCGAGCTAGCCCCAAGGCCTCCACCGTTGCTCCACCTCGCGCACCTCCGCCCACCTCGTCCGTCCTGGGTGGCATCTTCCAGGGTCGGCCGAGACGGCCGTAAGGCCTTTGCAATAGAAGGGGAGAAAGATACGGAGGAGGGTGGACGGAGCTCACCTCTCCTGCCGAGGTGTCGGGCCGCGAGACGCGTAGTCCTCCCCTTCCTTCTCCGCTTCCTCCCTGATGAAAATGTCGAGCTGATGTTGCCGGCAACGCATCGGCCTTCCGCGACATTGTATGGGACAGATCGACTGCACAATCGTGAGGACGTGCGCGCGCCCTACCAGCACCCCTCCCAGGTAGCGTGAAGCGCAGCTGGAAGGGAATCCTGTAGATCGACACCATGGGGCTCTGGAGCACCTCGCGGATACAGACTGGGCGAGGGAGAATGAGGAGGAGGAGGAAGAGCAGCACATGGAAATGCGCGGCGTGAAGACTACTGTGCATGGAATGGGGGTCTGGTGGAAAGGGGCTGGCTCGAAGATATCGGTGCTGGCAGCCGTCCTCAACACGGGAGGCGACAGGTGAGCAAAGGATGGCCAGGCAGAGCTTAGGGAGTGGAGGCGGGAGGGGGAATTTGGGAGATGGAGGGGAGATGCAGGGGGAGAGAAAAGTACAGAGGAAACGGCAGGGGCGAGGGTGGGGGTGAGGACAGGAGGAAGAGAGGTTGAGAATGACGGGCGGGGAAGGGAGGGGGAATGGAGGGGAGGGGAAAGCGAGAGCGATGGGGATGGGTATGGCGGAAGCCTAGAAACTCTCAGCATTGTCGTCACGGGCCGTGCCGCTTTCTCCCGCCCGCCACTCCGCGGCTTCAGCAACGCACGAGACTCAGCAAAGGCAACCGTCGCCGTCCGATGGGCAGCCGCCAAGGGCAAGGGCACCATAGGCGCCACGAGCGGCACGCGCACCCGAGGTGCTGCGCGCTCCAGGTGCGCCGATTGCACGACGCGCAAAGCATGCGCCAAACACATGCGACATCATACTCAGGCAATATGCTGACGCCTCCGCTGTCCTTGCCAGAGACACATGCGTAATAGCGGCGACGTGGCCCACCGAGTGCGGGAGAGGTGCTTGGCAACAAAGAGCAGTGATGCAGGAGAGGAGGGTACGAGAAGGAGGAGGAGGTGGAGGAGGGGGGAGGAGGAGGAGGGCAAGGAGGAGGAGGAGGAAGAGGAGGAGGAGGAGGAAGAAGAGGAGGAGGAAGAAGGCTGGAGGCTGAAGCGCTGAGGGCGTGAGCGACGGAAATGATTGGGGATGGATGGGGGTTCCCTCCTCCCCTGCTGGTTCCACTCATCTGTTCTACATTCCTACTTCTCGTCACCCTCGGGATGCTGGTCGTCGTGAGTCGTCCTCGTCCCCTCCTCCTCGTGCTCCTCCTCCTCCTCCTCCTCCACCTCCTCCTCCTGCTCCTCCTCCTAAGCTATTGTCACGAGAAGTGGTGGTTTCACAATTGCGGTAGCTTCGCTCGCCCCCTTCGTCACCACCCGAAGACCAGAAACGCGTTCTGGAAAAGGGTGGGCAACATACAAACAACCAGGAGGATGGAGAGAAGGACGAACACGGAGGAGGAATAAAACAAGGAATCGTAGTAGGAGGAGGAAGAGGAGGAGGAAGAGGGATGATGCGGATGGCGGAATTATAATAATGATGACAAGGAGGAATATGCTGATGCTGATGCTGACGATGCTGATGAGGATGGTGTTTATACTCGTTCATTAAAGTCTCACCGTGTGAACTCCCTGGGCAGCTCAAGTGCAAAACAGTGAATCCCATCAGCTCTCTGGGCGCAGGTGGTACAGAGCGCTTCCTTTTCTAACCTCCTTCCTTTCCCTGCTCGGGAAGTGGTGTACCTCCCCCCCCCGTCCCTTGGTCTGGACGGGTTCCCCCGCGAGGGGTTAGAGCGTGTCTCTAAATAGCTTCATGAGGGCTTTGGCTAGCCGAATATGGGCTCCAAGGTTGCCCGCGATACCTCAAGACGGCTCAAGATAGCCTCCAACACGCATCCAGGAGGCCTCAAGACGGCCCCAAGTTGCCTTCCGAGCCCTCCGAAGATTCCCCCTTCAAGAGGACAACATGGTTCAAAACCGACAACACATAAATGTGGTTTGCCTTTTTCGCTGTTTCGCTTCCGATGGGCTCTTGAAGCGTCAAGATGCCCCCCCAAATGGCCCAACGTAGCCCCAAGAGGAGCCCGGGAGGGCCCCAAGACGGCCCCAAGAGCGCCCAAGAGCGCCCCAAGAGCGATCCAAGAGGGCCCCAGGACGCCCCTTGTGGGCCTCTGGGGGGGGGGGGCTACATGAACGACGCCCTTCTTTTTAAGCGAAGGGGTCCAAGACGGCCCCCGGAGGCCTCCCAGACCCCCCAAAAAGTCCCAAGAGGGCCCTAGGACTCCACAAAAGAGCCCCGAGAGAGCCGCAAGAGAACCCCGAAAGACCCCCCAGAGAGACCCAAGAGGTGCCAATCATAAAAAAAACGGTTCTACGACGGGGTCCGCTGCGCCAGAGGCGCTTACCACAGGAAACAAACCAGCGTATCTTGCCCTGGTTTCTATATGAAACTTCGCTGCGGGAGACTCTGCGTGATCCTTGTTTCTCATGGCCCAGGGTGGATGCAGCCACCTGCGCTTGAGACCGTTTACCACGGGGTGCACCACGTCGTATCTTGCACCGGGTTCCATCTTAAACGTCAATGCGGGAAGCTATTCGTGTTGTTCTGAAGACGGGCGCGCAACTGCATGCTTCCAGCCGTCCCTGATTTACTAACTCACCTGCTGATCGTTGTTGGATGGGCTGGTTGGGGCTACGCGAAGCGTCAAGAATTTCAAATATTGGAGATCAGGTCTAGCCTTCGGCCAACAAGCTCCACGTTTTAACGCACCACTGGAGCAGGTATAACACAGAGAACGCGGGACGCTATGGCAGTGCCCTCCGAGCGAAGCCTCCGCCACGTGAACAAGAGATGCCAGGAGGGGAACAGCGCCCGGGGCCGTCGAAGACTGACATCAGGCACCGCTCACGTCATGCGAGGTGGGGACAACTCACCCAATAAACAATTGTACAGCTTGTCGGCGCTACCTCGAAGTCCGCCAAACACTTCTTACCCAATGGGGGCACCGCCTTGCCGGACTTCTCCTCGAACGCCTTCCAGATCTCCAGTATGCCATCGGCCTCGGTCTTGCAAAGCGTCCTACGACTCAGACTTGAAAGAAAAAAAAACTTCATGTCCGACGTCCTTCTCGATCGCGTCGCGGGCCTTGCAGTAGCCAAGCAGCAGGCCATGGGGTAACACTCTCCACCGTTTTCTTTGTTGTCGCCATCCGGGGCGCCCAACTCGTCCTTCCATACAGTGAGATTGTTGCCGACCCCGTTGAACTCGCCCTTCAGGCATACGGGATGCGGCATGGTGAACTTCTCGCCGACCAAAGGGATATCCACGGGGACCCCATTTTCTCGACCACTTTCACCAGCAACTCGTGCGATTCCGTGCCGTTGTTTTGGAAAGAATGCGCGTCTTTCAGCGGGGAGCTGGTCGGCCAAAAATCCCCGTCTGTACGCGGCGCACGCGGTCCTCAACCTGGCGAAATGGTAGCGGCGCTCCGCGTCGCTGTCGATCTCGACGATCTAGATATTCAATCCGAAATCCGTATTGGGCTCGTTGCCCTTGAACAGCAGGCCGTCAGGGCCAGGGGACTCAGACCTTGGTTCCTTCTTGTACGTCGTCGGCCTCCGCCTCTCAGAACTTGCCTATCATCTCCGAGAAGGACTGCGCTTTCTCGTCTGGCACGTCTTTCTTGAACTCCTCGGACTCGCGAAGATATTGAATTGAGCTTGCCCGCCGCCTGCTGTTTGAGCATCGTGCTACGACGTGGGCGGCCATGGTTCTTCCTCGAGGCTACGGCATCGTCATCTGAACATGTTGACCCGCCCGGTTCTACCAACTGCTATCACAACAAAGCCCGCGCGCGCCCCTCAGCCTGCACCCCTGGACCGTTGGCCAAAGCGCGCTGCGGGCCGCGACAAGGCCCGTCAGGCGCTCCGGTCGAACCCCGTGCGCGAGGGGGGCCCGATGATCCTCCCCGCCAGCGGGCCACCAGGGCCCCGATGCAGCAGCCCCCGCAGAGGCTGCAGGCGGCAGTGGCTACCAGCAGGTGCCGACGAGAGCAGCAGAGGAGTCACCCCGCTGCTCAGGTCTACCGCCAGCCCCAGGGCCCCAGACAAACGGTTGGGCAAGCCGCGCCCCAAACGGCAGGAGGTCACTGCCCTCCGCCTCTCTGGTCGGCCTGGGCGGACCACGATGACACCGCGGAGGAGCCGACGTAGTCCGCAAGAGGTGCCAGAGGTTGGCACACGAGCTGCTCGGAAAGCGCGGCAGGAAACCCTTGGAAGAGCATTGCCCCCGCCCGCACCCTCGATGGCGGCCTGGGCAAGCGCCTGCATTAAGCGCCGGCCCAAGGATGCCACGCGAGGACTCAGGGCCGAAGCAGCTGCAGACGACCACGACGGGCGCGGAAACAGGAGACTAAGAGAGATCATTATCATCATCATCATCATCATCATCATTATCATCACCATCATCATCATCATCATCAGCAGCAACAACATCATCATCACAATCATCAGCATTTTCGTTATCAGCATCGTCATCATCATCGTCATCATCATCAGTATCATCAGCATCATCATCATCATCATCATCATCATCATCATCATCATCATCATCAGCATCAGCATCATCATCATCATCATCATCATCATCATCATCATCATCATCATCATCATCAGTAGTGCCAGCATAATCATCATCATCAACAACAGCATCATCCTCATCCTCATCCTCATCCTCATCCGCATCCTCATCCGCATCCTCCTCGTCCGCCTCCTCCTCATCATCATCAGCAGCATCATCATCAATCCGCTTACTCCTTCTTCTCATCCTCTTCCACCTCCCCTGTGCTCTTCCTGATCCGATCCTTCCTCATTATTGTTGTTTCTTCCTCCCTCTCTACCAAGGCACGCTTCAGACCCTCGGATGATGACAGAGAGGGGAAGCGAAGCCACCGCAATTGTGAGACCATCCCTTATCGTGAAAGAAAGCTTCTTCCCGCTACTGCTGGAGGGTTCTTGGGCAGGAGGGGGCCCAGACCTCCGGCGGATTGCTTTCTCTAGTCTTCAGCCCCCAGACCTCTCGAGCACGTCAGCAGGCGGCGACATTCCATCATCGAGCTGTTCAGTTGACGGTCCTGGGGCCTGGAAATGGCCTCCAGACGCAGACAATTGCGAGCAAAACACACTAGCGTGATTGTGCGTTCGAGTCGACCGCTTGAGGCACTCCAGAATCCCGCTCTTCCTTGCGGCGCCTCTCGCCAACCTTGCGGACGCGCCGCCGCGTGACTTCCGCAAGCCTTCTGCCGAGGGCGATGCTGCGACGAAGGCCGGGTCTTTCTTCCAATCGAAAAAAGAACACATAAACATACACTTTTGGCGCTCCGCACGGATTTCTTGGATTCGCGCCGAAACCCCCGCCCTGGCGCGCGGAGCGCGCCAAGGGCGGCGCTGGAGGCGCCGGCGGGGGGCCCAGGCGCAGATCCAAGAAACCCGCGCGGAACGCCAAAAGTTTCTGTTCATGTGTTCGTTTCTTCTTCGATCGAACGCCCCGAATCGCCAGAGGCCCCGAATCGACAGAGGCCCGGAGATGCACCACTCCGCGCACGGCGGTCAACTTGGCCAGGTGCACGGACGGCGCGGTTCCGAGGGACCGGCCTCGGGGCGCGGACCCCCCGAGAGCGTGGGCGCGGGAGTGGCAGGGCAGGGCGGGGGGAGGGGAGGGCGGGGGGAGGGGCACACTGGGGCTCGGGGAGGGCACGAGCGGCCAACATCGGATCAGGCCCGCACCGGCACGGGGTCGGAATCGGATCAGATCGGTCGCGTCAGGATGCACAACAGCGCCATCCGAGCATCGGCCTGCATCGTGTCATCGGAAAACAAGAGTCCAATCGGATCGGGCAGGCCAGACTCGATATCGAATCCGTCCGATCGGAGATGGACCCGGAGTGGAGTTGCCGGACAGGAGTGGCGCACGGCCGCTGGTGAGGCGGCGAGGACTTAGCATCGGTTCTCGAGGCCGCCTGCCTACGAAAGCGCTGCACTCGCCTTCAGCAGCTCAGCCAGGGGGGGTCAGGATGGAGGGAGGCAGGGGGAACGGGGGGTGGTGGATCAGGAGGGTACGGGGGTGAACCCAAACGAAAACCCAATGCGAAACCCGAAAATCGAGCGCCGAACCCGAAAAACTGAGAGATAGAGAGAGATCCAAACCCGATAACCAACTAAAGCCCGAAGATCCGAAGGAGCGAAACCCGAAACCCCAGCAGCGGCCAACCCAGACAACCTCGATAGCCAGCCTCGCCTCCGCCTCGTCCTGTTCCTCTCCCTCCGCTGCCTCCTCCTCCTCCTCCTCGTTCTCGTCTTCCTCCTCCTCTCCTCCTCCTCCAACTCCCCCTCCTCCTCCTCTTCCTCCTCCTTCTCCTCCTTCTCCTCCTCCTCCTCCTCCTCCTCCTCCTCCCCCTCCTCCTACTCCCCCCACTCTTCCTCGGCCAACCCCATCTCGTTCAACATCCACCTCTGTAGACCCAATACTGCGAAGCCGGGGTCGTAGTGCAATGATAACCGCGAGGTTGTATGTCAGCAAAAATACAACAATGATACCAATATCATCCGCAATGGATGGCGAAACATGGTTGCTTAGCGGAACCCGCGATGGCTCCTACCGATACGCCCAAGCTCAAGGGCCCTGGAAAAGGATTGAGCCTAAATAAGCACGGCTAAGGTCAGTACGCTCTGCTTGCACGCTTGCCTGCTATGCTACACTGCTTACATATCAGCACGGACACTATATATTTCACACTCGTGCGAAATTATTATCATATGTGTGTGTATCTGGTCTTCGACCGTGTAGACGTGTCAAATATCACGTCGCCCAACTAAGTTGGAATCGAGCGCCTGCTGCGCTCTATCCTGAAACCAGGCGGATGGCGCGCTTGAAAAGCGAGCCGGCCCTGTTCATATGTGCCTCGTGCTCTCGGGCCTGGTCGGTTGGCTCCTGATGCTGCAGTGCGAGGCGTGTATCTCGCAGCGTTGGCCTGATGGCACTGCCGTAAGATCGTTTGGTGAACTGATCTCCGAACTGCTGGTCGGTCGGAACCCAAAAGAGAGGCAACTGGCTACGCTGATCGTCGGCAACGAATTCGTGACGGATTTCCTCTTCTAATGACTCCTTGAGGCCTACTAGGTCTAACAAAAGGCGCCGCTCTGACGGGAGCTTGGAGTAACCATCTTTGTGTATCGTATCGCACAAGCTAGCGGCTAGCGCAATCTGTGATCTGAGCAAGCGGCAGCAAACTCGGTGGGGTAACTTCCGGATGAGCATCCGACATCTCCAGCGAAGCGAAAACGCAGCGTGCGATCTGAGCACAGCCTAATGCGTCTACCGCTGACATCGTCCCAGCTGCCAAAGTAGATCTGCCTGATCGCAAAACAACGATTCCCGCTCGCGCCTTGTCGCCGCACAACAGCTTGGCCTCGGCGATGAACGTCGCGTGACCGGCCTGCGAGCGGATCTTGATATTCTTGTCCTTGCTGCCCACGCCCTAGGTGACTAGCGTAGCTATGGCACCTTTAGGTTGCTCGTCAGCATTGGCCCAGCTGGCGTCGTGGTAAGTGACCAGGCAAAAGGGCCCACGAAACTTCGGGAATTCCAGTCCCACGTCCGCGTGCTTCCGCGCCAGCTTGATGAGCCGGTTAGTCTCGAGCAGATCCTGGATGGTGGGCTCGTTCTGGGTGCGCTGTCCCATGGCCACTCCAGCTGGCAGGTCTGGTCGAGTCTGCGATGAGAGCCATCCAAGCGCTCCGAGGGCGGAGCGTTTATCCGAAAACTCGGCTGCCGTCGCCTCCGCCGATAGCTCCGTCTTGCGCTCCCCGCTGAGCGCGATCTTCTCGATCGTGTTCGCGTGCTCCGTCTGGCGTAGGTGTAGGGCCCCCTCCTCATCGCGCCGCGCCTGCTTGCCACAAAAGGCGCATGGCAAGCCTCTCCAGTCGCCCCACGGCAGGAGCTTGCGCAGCCGGCCGTACAGGCTCGGGTACTTGGGCGAGACGCCCAGCAGCACGTCGTCCACGTGGGCGACCACCACCACGCACAGCTCCCCGTGCTTGTCGCAGCCGTAGTACAGCGCTGGATGCAGCGAGTGCTGGCGAAGGCGGAACACGTAGTCACCTAGCTTCTCCTCCACCGCAAGCAAGGTCCTTTCGAACTTAGCCCACCACTGTCGCGGTGCGGTGGCTAGCCCGAAGACTCCCTTGAGGATCTTGACCAACTGCTTCGGGTGCTACCCAGGTAAGCCCTCGCGGGGCTAAGCCATGTACAACTGCTGGTCGGGCTGCTCGTCGCCTTGCATGAAAGCCGCCCCCACGTCCGCTGCGTAAATCTCCAGGTCGAACCTCTGACAGACGGTGAAGAACAGCATAGCCGAGTTGCGCGTGACCGTAGGCGCGTCTGTGCGCAGGCCGCCCTGAGCGAGACGCGGGCCCATGTGACCCCCGACGCAGAGTCGGGCCTTGGCCTTGACTGGCAGCGGGTGCTTGTCAGTCCGCAGCGGCGCGTTCTTATCCCGGTGCACAAACCAGCTGGGCAAGATGAGACTGGCCTTGGCCCTGCCCCATGACCGCCTCGGACTCCTCGATGATGAGCACCTGACAGGATCCGTACTTCTGCCACTCGCTCCACTGCTTGGCCGCCGCTTCTCGGTAAAGCTCCCTGTCGGAGTCGTTGATGGCCCTACAATGGATATCCTTGTCTGCTTACTTGCGATTGATCCTCTCGGTGACGGTGGAAGTCTGCATCGCTTCTCTGGGGGCCGACCTCGAACGCTCTCTAGCGCCCTCCTGATCGGATCCGGCCGCTGCTCCGCCGTCGGGCACTGCCGCCCGATCGCGCGAGGCTGTCCTCGGGGGCAGTACTCTGGAGCCCGCGTGCTCCTTAAGGTCTGCAGGCGCTTGAAGGCCGGGCCGAAGTCGCCGCTGTCCGCCCCGTCGAAGGTCATTCGCCGTCGTCGGAACTCGACGGGACCGTAGGGCTGCTCCTCCAAGGGTGACTGAGGCACGTCGGCTCGGTCGGCGGGCAGCACCTCGATCTGCTCCTGGGGATTCGGGTCCTCATAACGTTCAGCCTCAGGTCGTCGTCGTCTGGGCTGTCGATGAACTCCCGCCACGCCTGCTCCACCTCGTCTGGCTGGACCTCGGACTGGCCCGGCTCGGGGCGGATGTCCTCCACTGGGGCCCCCTCCTGATCGAACGAGTCGCGAGCCCTGTTGAGCTCGGCCACGGCCTGGCAGATCTCGCCCCGGCCGTTCGGGAACCAGACGTCGTCCGGAGCGAGCGCCTTGATGTGCTCCGGGGCCACCAGCATGGCGCGCCCTCCCAGCGAGACCCAGGCGTCGTTGCCCTGGTGGCCAATGACCACGCACGGCCCCCGCCAGATGCCATTCTCGGCGTTGCGATTGTGCTGCTCCTTCTGCTCCTTCTTCTTGACTTGGCGGAAAATGTAGCACATCTCGCCCACTGACAAGGGTGTGGCCACGGTGCGCGCGCGAGCCAGCATAGCTCGCCTGAGCTGGTCGTCGTTCTGCATCCGCATGAGCGCCTCGCGCGCCGCCGTCCGAATAGCATATTGGCGACGAATATTCTCGTCATTGGTGGCGAGACTGTGGGCGCTGTAGTTGGCCGTGTCGTCCACCAGGTCGGCGGGCATCTTGGGATCGCGCCCCAGCACCCACTGCGCGGGGCTGAAGCGGGCCCGCCTCCTCAGCGAGTTCTTCGCGCCCGACGCCATGATGCCCAGCGCCCGCATCTCGTCCTCGCCCCTGATCGACGAGTGCTCGGTCGTCCTTGCAGCGAGCTCCTTCCGCCAGGCTCCCTGACGTTCCACTCGACCGAGCTGCCAGTGGGCCTGTCCAGCGATAGGTAGCTGCACCGCATCGGCAGACTGTAACAGCTCGCTGAGAACGCCGCCGAAACCCCTCTCCATGTCGAAGTGGACTAGGTCCGCGACGCCGGCCCAGGAGGCCCGGCACCTCTCGAAGGCCGTAGCGAACACCCGGCTGGCGTGGCGACCGATCAGCGTCGCGACGTGGAAGGTAGTGGCCAAGTCGACGATGCTGAAGTACCAGTAGGTCTCGCCGTCGACGTCATTGGGCTCGAAGCAATCGAAGCCCACGTCGTCGCCGAAATCTTGCACGAAGTGGAGGTGCGCTGGTCCCCTTGCGCTCGGGAGCTGCTGCAAGCGGCGCGCTCCGCAAATCAGCCCCTTGACGGCCTGCGCGGCGGCCGACTTTAGCGCCCTTGAGTCGCAGACTGCGGCCCGCGTCTTCATTGGACGGATGGCCCAAGATGACGTGGAGTCTCTTGAGCATGGCCGGCTCGGCTGGCTTGCAGCAGGCTGCTGCTTGCTTCGTGTTAGTGATCGCGCCGACCCCCAATCCTGCCGTCCACAGTCTCGTCGGCCTTAACGTCGTGAGTGTCGGCGAAGTCGTCTCCGCCGCCCATGGGGCCTGTGCCCGAAACAAGCTCGCCCGTCTCTCCCAGGGGCGCGGTGCCGCTCACGTAGGCGGTGGCCTGCCCCTTCAACTCCGTCGCAATGAAGGGCGGCGAGGAAACCCTGCAGCCCACCTGGCAGGCGCAAGGCCCACCCTGCCCGCGAACGACCTGCTCGACGATGCGCACCACCGCTCGGCAGAACTTGGCTGGATCAACGCCAAACTTCCGCGCCGCCACGTTGTCCTCGAACGTCTGGTCGTGGTGCGCGTGGCTGCAGGTGCGGCGTAGCCGCTCGAACTCCCTGTGGGTGACGAGCAGCCTGGCGGGGTGCTTGATGAGCCCCCCCGTCTTGTAGCGTCGAGCCCCGCACTCGCGCAGATCGCACCCCACCTGGTGTACGCGCTTGTCGGCAAGTATCTCCATCATGATGCGATGTGTCCAAATCCGGCTGGTGGCCGGGTTCTCGATCATGGCGACGCCGCCTGAATCGAGCTGAGACATGACGAGGTCGCGGGCCAAGAAAAGGAATGGCCGCTCCGCGCGCCACAATCGCCGCAGTGCCTGCTTGCCCTGCGGCGCGCGGAAGTTGAGATGTGTAATGTTCTTGTAGCAGGTGCAGGGTAGCTCGGTCGACGCGAACTTCGGCCTCGATGCGTAGCACCGCTCTTACGTCATCTCGAGGTCCTTCTGCTTGCAGAGGTCCCGGCCGTACTTGCGGTCGATCACCTCCGTGGCTGTCATGTTGCAGCGCACTGCCGCCTCGGCGACGCCGCCTTCGCCTCCGAACACCTGCATGACGTCCGCGCCTTTGCTCCGGATGGTGTAGACCTCCTTGACGTTCCTCACGTGGTCCACCACGTACTGCGCGGTGCTCGTCGGATACTGAGCGAACGGCTTGAGAGGTTGGGCCAGCCAGTCCGCCGTGAGCACCGCCTGACAAGCGAATGTGCTCAGCAAGCCCGTGACCTGGTAGAGTAGGCCGACGCGCTTGCCCTTCTTAATGCCTGGCCGCCGGCCCGAGGGTGGCGGCTGGCCCCGGCGGGCGCCGCCGCCTGGGCCCTGTGGCGCGGAGACGCCGCGTCCGTCTCCTGGTCGGTCTCGCCCGCCTTCTGGAAGCCGTGGTCGCTGGTGTCCATCTCGCGCCCCTCGACCGGCCTCGGAAAGCGGTGACCCGCCCAGCTGCCTTGCTTCACTCCGCGAGCCTTGACCCACCTGCCGAAGTGCGCCAGGAGCGGGCTCGCCGGGCCGTTGTCCAGCTCCAGCACCGCCCACTGCGCGTAACCCAAGTCGTTCTTGAGCACCCAGCGGTAATCCGCGGTCGGGTACTTGCCGAAGCGCATCTTGTCGTTCCCCGTGATCTGCGAGCTTGGATGGGCCGCGGTGCTCGAGGCGCCGCTGACCGCGTTCTCGACCTTCCAGCCCTTCAGGCGCTGCCTGAGCTCCTGAACGGTCGTGCGCTGGTCGATATCGTTGTCCTTGGCCCTGCGCAACTCCTGAACCTCGTGCTTGTGCATCTTGCCGAGCCCGGGGATGTCCTGCGCCTTCTTGTCCTGGCCCTCGGCCCTCAGCGCGCGCAGGATAACGCGGAGCTGGTCGCACGTCGCGCAACGCGCATCCAACTCGTAGCTTGCCACTTCCGCCTGCGGCCCCCCCATCAACATGCTGGAGACCGCCGGCAGGCGGGAAGTACTCGGCGTCGGCGCATTCGAGCAACTGGCCTCCGGATTCGTCACCCTGGGAGATGTCATGCATTTCCGCTGCGACGGGGGCATGACCTCCGGCCGCTGGTTCGTGAAAAGCTGCGGCCGCTGGATCTGCCGCGGCACGCGTCCGTAAAAGCTGTTGGAGCCTGAGATGAACTCGAGCCGGATGGCTGCGGTGATGATACCGTTTGGCGACTCCGTGATGATGTCTGATCTCGTAGCTCGCTGCCGCCTGCTTGCTGCTGAAATCGGGCACGTTGTGGCCGAGGGTCGCTGTCTGGTTTAGCTCCTCGCCCTGTGTGATCGGTGCGCATGACCTGCGCTGCGCTGGCGGACGTTGGAGGAACTCCCCATGCCTCATCCTCCGACTCCGATGATGGCTGACGTGATGGAATGTATGCGCACATGGCCTGGCGCACTTGCTGCTCGAAAAATGCAGCGCCATCGAGCTCGTCGCAAACAGTCTCCGGCTGAGACTCGTCGGCCTCCGAGGCGACCCCTCGGTCGCAGCGCTCGGGCGCTGCCGGCTTGGCGGCGCTGGCCACGGCTGTCCCAGCGCGGTAAGTCGCCAAAACATGCAGCCAGATCTCGGTCTCGGTGTCCGAGACGTCCGACACGGGCTTGTAGCTCGGCGCGAAACCTGTAATCTCGAGCGTCGAGCGTCGGGCGCGGCTCAAACCCATCTGGATGCCGTGCTCGTTGACGGACTTGATGTCCAGCTTGTTGTCCCCAACGTGGTAGACGACGTCCATTTCGCTCTGGGCCTGGCGGCAGAACAGCCCCGGCACGGCGCTGCGCGCGATGCTCATGCGCACGGCGAAGGCCTTGCCATTCACCGAGCAAGGAATCAGCGCCGCCTTGAGGCTGTACACCACCTTGGACGCTCCGACACGGAACGGCTCTTTCTCCGGGCACTCGATCGGCTGGATGTTGAAGGCCGCCAGCTTCTACTTGAGATCGCTGTGCCAGTCCAGGCCGCCGCCGCACCGCAAGCAGGCGGTGTCGAAAGTCAGATTGCCGTCCGACTCCATGCGTAGGTCGTCGACGCTGATATAGATGAGCGCCGAACCCGTCGCAGCCATGGGGCACTGGTTGTCCATGTTGATGTAGAACGAGGCGGCCGTCACCTCCTCGGGCATGTAGGCCTGCTGGCGCAGGCTGGTCAAATCGACGTCGTGCAACGCGTTGCCGAAAGTGACCTTCCTCCGATATCGCGCCGCTCTCGGCTGCTCGCGCTGGTAGACCGCCGCGACCGCCATCTCCGCGACGTGGGGCCCCTGCGCGTCGCCGGCCCCGCCGTTCGTAATCATGTTCGCCCTGTGACTTCCGTTTCGCGGGATGTCGGCCTTCGCGTTGGGGTCGTTCTTCTCGGGGCACTGCGGGGTCGCCGCGCCAGCGGCCCTTCCGGCCGCAAGCTCCACAGTGCGTCCTCGCCTTCATCTGGGCGATCTTGGCATCGCCCTTCTTCGGCGGACGCCCGCCGTCTCGCTTGGCGAAGTAGCCGCGCCCGCCTGCTTGGCCTCCTCTAGCTCGTCCTTGGCGCGCACCATCTTCTTGGCGAAAAAAGCCGCCTGCTCCTCCGCCTCGTCTATCGCGCCCTGCAGTTCGTCCGGCAAGTCGTCGTCGTAGCCCTCGGAGCTGTCGAGGGGGCGCGCCGTCGTTCTCGGCCTCGTCGTAGGCCTCCGTGGCGCGCACCTTCTTGTGGTCCTTCTTGTGATCTCCGTAGCCGCCTTTGTCGTGGCGACGCTCCTTGTGGCCGTCCACGCCCGATATTTTGCGGGCCAATTGATCGCGAGCTGCTCCTGGATATTCGTCGGATTGAACTTGTTGCCCACGCCGTTGAGCACGCTCGGCGCGCGCTCTGGTGGCAGGCGGGCGCCCTTGATGCACAGGTCGGCCAAGACTTCGTCGGGCACCTGTATGTCCTTAGCTCTCAGTTTCGTCGCTATGCTGTTGAAGCGACTGTTGAAATCGCGGATCTCCTCAAACTTGCGCCGGATGCACGCCGGCTTCACGAATGTCTCCAGGAGCGCTGGTAACTCCAATGCTTCGATCTTGGGAAAGCGCTTCCCGAGGCACTCCAAGAAAACCTCTACCGAGTCGTCGCCCTTGGTGGTCTCCAGGTCGAGCTCCTCGCACGCCTCCTCGGCCCTGCTCTTGAGGCTGGCCAAAAACGTCGCGCCCCGCTTGGGCAGCTTGACCTCGGCGCCAATCTGCCAGGTGGCGACTTCTCGGCGGAACTTCTTCATCGTCTTCCTCGTCCCGCCGAAGACGGGTACGGGAATCTTGCCCCCGCTGTTCTTGTCCTCGCCGCTGGCTGCAGCGGCTCCTCCAGTAGTCGCCATGGCGGCAGCTCCGAATGAGAGGTGTCAGTCGCAATCACGAGCTTGTAGTGTGCCTATATTGGCTCTGCGAAGTCGCGCATGTTGCCGTGGTCGAGTTAGCTCCGCTACCACGGTAGACCCAATACTGCGAAGCGGGGTCGTCGTGCAATGATAACCGCGAGGCTGTATGTCAACAAATATACCGCAATGATATCGATCATATCCGAAACGGATGGCGGAATATGGCTGCCTAGCGGAACCCGCGATGACCCCTACCGATACGCCCACGCTCCAGGGCCCTGGAAAGGATTGAGCCTCAACACGCACGACAAAGGTCAATACACTCTGCTTGCTTGCTTGCCTGCTATGCTACACTGCTTACATATCACCACGGACACTATATATTTCACAACCTCCCCTCCTTGCCTGTCCCCGTCCTCTTTTCGCCCTCCTTCAGCTCCTCCCACCTGCCCCTCCCCCCTCCCCCTTCCCCACCTCCTCGCTCGTCCTCCCACGCCTCCTACCCTCCTCTCCTCCCTCGTCCCTCCTCCCTCCTAATCCCGCCTCTTGCGTCCTCTCACTCTTCCTCCCTCCTCCTTCCTGCCTCCTCCCTCCGTCCTTCCTCCCCCCTCCCTCCTCTCTCCTCTCCTCCTGCTCCCTCCGCCCCTTTCCCTCCTGCCTCCTCCCTTCCCCCCCCTCCTTCATCGTTCCTCCTTCCTCTTCCCTCCGCTTCCTTCCTCCCTCGTTCCTCTAGGTCAACACTCGGCAACGCCTGCGGGGCGGAAGCTGAAAATATTCCACTTTACTCGCCACGTGGCGAACGCCTGGCGGGTAAACAAATATGCCATTCCACTCCTCGCGAAGTGGCAACGACTGGGGCGCGAAACGCAAACTACTCCACTCCACGACTCGCCAAGTGGCAACGACGGCGAGGCGGAATCATACCTTGTTGACTTTACGCGCCATGTGGCAACACCGCCGGAGCGAAACACATACTGCCCCACTCTCCTTGCCACGTGGCAGCGCTCGGAGGGGAGAACACATACTAGCCCACTGTGATCACCACGTGGCAGCGCATGCGGTGCGAAACACAATTACTTCATCCTTCCTGACACGCGGCAACGAAACGGGGCGGCAACAAATGCCACTCCTGTCTACTCGCCACATGGCAACGCCACGTGGCAAGGCATGAGAAGTAAGCAAGCATATCATCCCATTCCATTCGCCACGTCGCAACGACATGGGGAGCGAACAGGAAGCATAAGTCCACTCAGCGCACCACGTGTTCACGTGGCAATGCCGCGCGGGCCAAACATGTACGGTCCCACTCGACTCGCCACGTGGCAACGCCTGGGGGGGCGAAAACATAGGTTCCATCAGATTCGCCACGTGGCAACGCCTTGGAGCAGGAACATATGCACCTCCACTCCATTCGCAACGGGAAAGCGACGGACCGGTTGACAGAATGCAGCACACATCTGCGCGCCGCGTGGCACAACCGCACAACGAAAAATAATGACTCAATTGTATTCGACGTGGCAACGCCGCAGAGGAGAACACCAAAATCTACTCGGCACGTGGCTCCAACGCGGGCGAAGACGACGACGACGACGACGACGACGACGAGGGCGAGGGCGAAGACGAGGGCCAGGACGAGGACGACGACGACGACACGAGCGACGACGACGACGACAGGAGCGACGACGACGACGACGACGACGACGACGACGACGACGACGACGACGCGACGACGACATGACGACGACGACAGCGACGGCGGCGGCGGTGGCGAAGACGAAAACGACGACGACGACTGACGACGACGACAACGACGATGACGCCGACGGCGACGACGAAAATGACGACAATGACGACGACGACGACGACGACGACGACTCCGTCCGCCCGCCCGCCCGCCCGCCCGCCTTTGCGCCCAACCGCCCAACCTCCCGCCCAACCACCCGCCCGCGGGCCCGCCTTCTTGACCGCCCGCCTGCACGCCCGCCCGCCCGCCCGCGCGCCCGCCCGCCCGCACGCTCGCCCGCCCGCCTGGTCGCGCACCTGCAGGCCCGCTCCCCCTCCGTCACCCTCCTCCCTCACTCGCTCCTCCAAGGCGGCCACCAAACCGAGCCAGAGCGATCAAGCACGCGGCAGGAAAACTCCTTCCTTATCAGCCTCTCCCTCCTCCACTGAGCCGTCGATGTTCTTGCTCTTCCCCTTCCGCATCCCCCCCCTTCCACTACTGTGCCGGCGAATTCCTTGTCCCTGGGATTCCGGAGAAACGATCTCCTCCTCCTCCTCCTCCTCCTGCTCCTTTTCCTCCTCCTCCTCCTCCTCCTCCTCCTCCTGCTCCAACTCCTCGTCCTCCTCTTCCTCCTCCTCCTCCTCATCATCATCTTCCTCCTCATCCTCGCCCTCCTCCCCCTTCACTCCTCCAGATGTACGCATCAATTCTATGTTTTCGGCGCAGTCGCAAAATACGTTGCATCGCATTGCGCTGCGTTACTCTTCCTGCGTCAGCCCCCCTCCTCCCCCTACTCGTTCGTCCTCCATCTCTCCTCCTCGCTCGTCCCCGTCGTCCTCGTCCTCTGTCCGATCCTCCCACCTCCCCCTCCTCCCTCCACATCCTCCTCCCCCTCCTCGCTTGTCCTCCCACGAATCCCACCCTCCTGTCCTCCCTCCTCTTCCCTCTTCCCTGCTCCTCTTAGCTCTTGCCTCGTCTCGCTTGTCCTCCACCCTGCCTCCTGCTTCCTCCCTCATCCCTCTCTCCTCCTTCCTTCTCCTCCTGATCCTCCTCCTCCTCCTCCTCCTCCTCTTCCTCCTCCTGTTCCCTCCTCCCTGCTCCCTGTTCCCTCCTGCCCCACCTCCTTCCTGGCTCCTCCTCCCCCGTCCGTCTACTCGACACGCGGTCAAGCCTGCGGGGCGGGCATTGAAACTATTTTACTGTACTCGCCACGTGACAAACGTCTGTGGGGCGAAATCAGAGTGAGGGGGCCGAACGGTCATTCACTGTCCCTGGGTGCGTGGCTGAAATGGAATTCGGCGGCGCGGATTCTCGTTGTTGTTGTTGTTGTTTGTTTGTTTGTTTGTTTGTTTGTTTGTTTGTTTGGTTGTTGTTGTTGTTGAACATTATTTATTCTAAAGAATAATTATTGTTGGGCCCCCTGGTGCGCGCCCCCCCTGCGCCGCCTAGGCCGCAGCTACATTTTCATCATTTTCGTGAGGAAGCCTCAGGTAAAACGATGTGATCCAGATCCGGTTGTTTTGTTGTAATCCGTTTTCCCTTGCAAAAAACACTATAAAATGACATTTCTTGTTCTAATATAATCAAATTTCAAGAATCCCTTGCAAAAAATAAGGTAAAGTGGACATTCGCGCGCGCAAGACGAAATCCTTCCAAAAGCTTAGTGTTCGGAGCGATTTTAACATAAAAACATCAAAAAACCAATGGTTTTTCAACAAAAAAATGTCAAAATCTCATCCCGCGCGCTCTTGCGGATTCGTAGGAAACCCAACACTTTTTAAACATTTCTGTCAAACGGGCTTTTGCGAGCAACTTTTTCGAACTTCTGCGACAACGGTTGCGCACCTGCCAGGGCCATCATCCCTGTCAAATAATACCATGCGGGACACATTCGTTTTTTCTTCGCGCGCGCACGCCGTCGTCGTCGGCCGCGGGGCCCTGAATAGTAGCCACGGTCGTCCGCATGCCACGAAGTGAAGTGTCCGAACGTCATAGGGCGGGAAGCTGGGTGTGGGTGGTGGCGAAGAGTCGTTTGGAAATTTGGTAGAGCTTGAACCGGCCCCCCCACAAAGTGGGGGTATTGCCCGCCTCCTATGAAAACCCTGGCACTGGTGAGAACGGAGTGTCCCCACGTGCTAGTAATTGTTGTTGTTGTTGTTGTTGTTGTTTGTTGTTGTTGGTTGTTGTTGCTTGTTAGTGTCGTCCCACCCGCAACCCGCCCCGCGACCCACCCGCGACCCACCCCGCGACCCACCCCGCGACCCACCCGCGACGCACCCGCGACCCACCCCGCGACCCACCCCGCGACCCACCCCGCGACCCACCCCGCGACCCACCCCGCGACCCACCCCGCGACCCGCCCGCGGCCCACCCCGCTACCCACCCGCGGCCCACCCGCGACCCACCCGCGACCCACCCGCGACCCACCCGCGACCTACCCCGCGACCCACCCGCGACCCACCCGCGACCCAAACCACGTTCAAGGTACAAACCACCATTTTCAGCGCCTGCGGCGGGCTTCTTTTTCATCCCGTCCAGGTTGAAAGCCCGCGACCCACCCCGTGACCAACTCGCGACCAACCCGCGACAGGGTACAAACCACATCTTTCGGCGCCTGCGGCGGGCATGTTTAGCATTCGTTTCAGGTGGAGAGCCCGCGGCCCACCCGCGACCACGTTCAGGGTACAAACAACATTTTTCGGCGACTGCGGCGGGCATCTTTTGAATTCGTTCCCGGTGGAGAACCCGCGGCCCACCCGCGACCCAAACCACGTTCAATGTACAAACCAAGTTTTTTGGCGCCCGCGGCGGGCTGCTTTTGCACTCCTTCCAGGTGGAGGAGGAGAACCCGCGACCCACCCGCGACATACACCACGCTCACTGAACAAACCTATGCTGCACAAGCGCGGCGGCGGATTTTTGCATGCCGCCTGAGCCCGCAAGGGCCTCTTCAAGCCCCGCGCATCCACACCAGCCCGTCCAGCAACTCTGCCCTGGCGAACTGCCTTAATCAAAGAAGGCGGGGATCAAAAAGTGGAGAGAAGGATTGCGTTGCAGTTATCTTGGGAAAGGAGGGGGAGGCAGGAGGAGTAAACAAGGGACGCGGAGAACGCGGAAGAAGAGAGGATGTAAGGATAATGTGGAGAAAGAAAAGGAGGAGGAGCAGGAGGACGAGGAGGGGGAGGAGGGGGGGAGGAGGACGAGGAGGGGAGGAGGGGGAGGAGGAGGAGAATGGTGATGATGATGATGGACGACAATGGAAGGACGATGATGGAGGCCGATGAGGGGGAGGACGACAATGGGAGGACGATGATGAAAGGACGAGGGGGGAGAGGGAGGACGAGGTGGAGGAGGAGGAGGAGGATGACGATGAGGACGAGGACGAGGAAGAGGAGGAGGAGGAGGAGGAGGAGGAGGACAGCGCCATCGACAAGGAAGGTGGGGGCCACGAGGTCCGCCGGCTCGACGACGCCCGCGTCGCCCGCGCCCGCCCCCTCACTCTTATCCGCAATTGCGGGGTGCTACGTATGCTACTCCTCTCTCCTCGCGACGTGGCAACGCCTGCGGGACCGAAAACAACGCCGGGGGAGCGAAATACATACAACTCCCATCTCCTCGCCACGTGAGAACGCGTGGATGGGGAAACAAACACTATTCCACTGTACTCGCCACGTGGCAGCGCCTGCGGAGCAAACGCCCGCGCGCCCGCCCGCCCGCCAACGCGCGCGCGCGCGCGCGCCCGCCGCCCGCCCACCTGCCTGCCCGCCCGCCCGCCCCGCGCCCGCCCGCCCACCCCGCCCGCCCGCCCGCCCGCGCGCCCGCCCGCCCGCCCGCGCGCCCGCGCGCCCGCTCGCGCGCGCCACGTGGCAACGCCAAGGGAGCGAAACAAATAGTGCTCCCCTCTGCTTGCCACGTGGCAGCGCGCGGAAGGGGGGAACAACTACTACTGCACTATACTCGCCTCGTGGCAACGTCTGCGGGGCGAAACAGCATTACTCCACTATACTCGGCAAGTAGCAACGAAGCAGAGGACCACATACTACTCCACTCCACTCTCAACCTGCCACTCCACTCGCCACGTGGCAATGACATGGGGAGCGAACAAACAGTACACCTCCGCTCGACTCATCACGTGGCAATGCCGCGCGGATCGAACATATACTAATCTCATTCTACTCGTCACGTAGCAACGCCTGGGAGGCGAATCCAGATGTTCCATTCGATTCGCCACGGGACAACGCCGTGGGGCGGGAACACATACACCGCCACTTCATTCGCAACAGGGCAACGGGAAGACAACAAACAACGAAGAAGACCTCAAAACAACCGCCAACATCGCAGACACCACAAACGGACCACGCTGCTGTACCCGATGGAAAACACCATTGGCCGACGCGCTACCCAGAACCCGATACGCCGAGAAATGTACTGCCCTACTAACCTCTCCGTTGCCTTCGTTGTTCTCCTACCTCTGTCTGCCTTGTCCTACCTCATCCTACGTCCACCAGCCTCCTTCAGCTGCACCGTGGCTCGTCCTACCTCCGAGTCCCTGCTTCCACCTCCTGCCCCCTCCCACTCCTCCGACCTCCTGCCGCCTACTACCTCGCCCTGCCTCCTTGGAGATCCCCTCCTCAGCTTTTCTACTTTTCTAGGTGGGCCCCCTCTCAGCTTGTCGGATCTCGCCACCCCGGCGTTTTCGGGTTTCGCCACTGTCGGGACTTCCGGTTTGGCCCTGCCCATTGTTTTGGGTTTCGGGAGAGTTTCTGGGTTCAACCTTCTTCCGGATCAGGAGGGGGGGAGAGTATAGTCGAAGCCTCGCTCTGAGGATCGCATGTAAGGAAAGCATTCCCTTTTTGACCCCAGATGCGTCCTGTTAGACGAGGAACACAAGAAAGGTAAAGGAATGACCAGAGGGGCCCCGAAGCCACGGCAGTTCTTACTCCATAGTTTACAAGGCATGTTATAATTACAGATGACGTCCATGTTACTCCATGTTAGGGGTTCTGATTCCATAGTTTACAAGGCAGGTGGGGAAGAGCAGGGGGAGGAAGGGGCGAAGGATGCAAGGGAGAAAATGACGGGTACGGTGGAGAACGGGGATCCACGAGCAACGGTCAAACAAAACAGCGTCGCATGCCCAAAATCATTCGAATGGTTGGAGTGCTGATGCGCGAGACACGAGCAAGCTGGGTTGTTCCCGCTGCCAAGCAGTGCAGCCATCTCATGAATTACCATGTATCGGCAAGTGTTGTGTATGACTTCCCCACAAATAATTTAGGTGAATCTTGCTGGAACAGCCGGAGTAAGATGAAACAGTGTCTTGCCAAGAAGGCAGCGCACAGGATGCACGCTAGCGAGACCCGACTGGCCCATAGAGGGGCGTCCCAGGAGAAGAGGCCAACCTGAACGGGGGGGAAAGAGCAAGGGCGACAAACACATCGCTGGTCGGGAAACGATGAGCAGAAGGAGGAAGAAGGGAAGGACGTCCAGGGAAAGGAGGAAGACGAGGAGGAGCCTCCCTCCGTGGTGAAGCCCTCTGGCCATACTCCTGCTGCTGGTCTCTTTCTTGGGCAGGCCGCTGGGCGAACGCCGCGCCCGAGGCGCCAGCTGCTGCTCCTCTTCTTCCTCCAAGCGTGCAGCCCCCTGCCTCCTCCTCCTCCTCCTCCTCCTCCTCCTCCTCCTCGTCCTACATGTGGAGCCCGCCTGTGCATCCTCCGCCAAGGCCACCTGGCTGCGCACATCGCGCCCCGCGATGTGCGGGCACTGCCCCGCGGAGAAAGGACGGCTCAGCGGCCGCAGCCGCAACGTGCAAAGAGCGGCTATCTTCGCGTCCTTTGGGGTGACACAGCTCCCCGCCCCCCGTGTCGGGTTAGGACGACAAGGGGGATGGTAAGAGGGCGGGGGGATTGGGGGTGAATCAGTCCACACAGCTGGCTTCCCCAGCGCTCATGCATCGAGGCAAGCGCCCAGCGGCGGCGGGATCGACACCAGCTGCAAGCAGCAGATTTCGCAACCCTCTCCTCTCCCTCCCCTCCCCCCCTCTGCGTCCGATCTGACAGCGGAGAACCCACCTCTGTGGACCCCCCCTGCCTGTCTCCCTCCCCAAGGGTGAGGCGCGGCCGTACGGCACGATCTGCTGCCAGGGTGTGCGGAGCTCGTCGCGGATGTACCTCGCGAGCGCCGCGGAAGGGGCAGGAGCGGTCGGCGTCGGATCGACCAATCGGACCGCGTCGACAGATCGGAGCGTGCGTCGAATCGGCCAGCATCGACTTCAGAGTCAGACTCTAATCGAGCTGGCCGCACCAGCATCGGAATCGAGTCGGATCGGGCTGGCCGACGTCGACATCGAACCCGATCGATCGGATCGAAGTGGGCCTCCAGGGGGGAAGGAAGCGGGGGGAAGGGGTGCGCAGGGCGGCGCCCCGCGGACCCGAGGCGGGTCCTTGCCGGGCCGCCCTGGGGGGAGCGGGGGAAGTGAGAAGGAAAAGGCCTTCTCAGAAGGCGGCGGGGCTTCTCAGAAACCCTCCAGTTTTCTCGTCTGCGGGGAAGGCGTTCACACAACTTCTCAGAAGGTTGGAGGACTTCCGAGCCTTCTGAGAAGGCCCGCCCCTTCTCACTCCTCACCGGGCTCGTCGCCGAACCTTGGCCTCAGCCTCGCCGGGTGGAGCCTTTGCAGAGCCTCGGCTCCTCACGGACATTGGCGAGGAGGAGGAGGAGGCGGTGGAAGAGCTCGCGCTCCTCGCAGCGACTTGTGAACGCCGCCTGTCTCTGCCCCGAGCTATTCAGCCAGGGCCCGTGTGGCTCCGCAGAAAATCGACGGCAGTCAAGCAGGCAGGCTGTCCTCAGTAGACAGGCCTTGCCCCAGCAGTGTGTTGCTCGATGCCGCTGTTTGACGTTGCGCGGACATGGATATGGGGTCGATGCGTTCTGGGTGTGCAATAGAAGGTTCCACAAGCCAACTCAGGCCGACAGCTGACTAACGAAGCCTGGCGGGCACAGCAGAAATTGCAAGGCATTGAGAATCGAAATTACTCCGGCGATGGGACTCCACACGAAAGTATGTTTAGATTGCCCCTGGCTTGTTCCTCTTCGCCTTGGCGAAGGCCCTCCTCCCGCCCTCTGTTGCGCCTCCTTCTTCTCCTCCTCAGCATCATCCCAATCATGATCATCGTCGTCATCGTCACCATCATCACCATCACCATCATCATCACCATCATCATCCTCACCATCACCATCACCATCATCGTCACCATTACCATCCTCATCATCATCAACAGCAACATCATCATCACCGCAATAATTTTTATCAGATTCGCCATTCGCCTGTTCCTTCTCGTCCTCCCCCTGCTCCTCCTCCTCCTCCTTTTCCTCCTCCTCCTTTTCCTCCTCCCCCTTTTCCTCATCCTCCTTTTGTTCCTCTTCCTCCTGCTCCTCCTCCTCCTCGCAATCCTCCCACCATCCTGCCTTTTCTCCCCGTTGCCGTCACGGCCGGCATGGGAGCGTTCTCCGACGGCCGGATTGTGAAGCCGCTGGGGCGCGGGAACCCGCCTTTTGGGACAACCCCACAGGTCTCGATCTAAACGCGGCCGCGCTCAGGCAGACGGCAACACGAAACCCATCAATGCCGCGAGATGCTCCGCCTCAGCCACGGAAGAACCTCACATTCACGACACTTATGGTTTTCGTATGACTCGCTCGGATTACCAACATGAAACGCGGGCCCCATGAGGAGGGGGCTCCCGCCTGAGATTTCCTTGCAATTCGCTCACATACGAGGTTCCCGCTCGAGAGCTCCTCCATATTCAGGCATGAGGACACCCCACGCGACAACGGTTATATGTTTCTCGGGTGGCCCGCTCGGATTACCAACATGAAGTGCGGGCCCCATAATGGGGGGTCCCTCCTGAAATTTCCTCACAGTTCACTCACATGCGCGGCTCCAGCTCGAGGTGTCCTCCATCGTCAGGCCAGGGAAGCCCAGACGTGATGATTATGATGATGATGATGAGGATGTTGATGTTGATGGTGATAATGATGATGATGATGACTTGTGGGTAATGGTGATGCTGATGGTGTTGATGGTCATGGTGTGGTTGCGAAGTGGGTGGGTGGGTGGAGGGGTGCCGACCATGAGGTGTGATGATGATGGCTATGATGGTGATGGTGATATCGCGGCGTATAGAATGACGTTGGCGATGACGATGGTGATCCACTCGCCCCATCACTGGTCAGAGCCATGTAGAAAAAAACTCTGACCACGTTCCTCTTCTTTGCGATGGCACGACCCCTCGCGGCAAGAAGGATCGGAAAAAGCCCTGTGCCTCCATCCTTCGTGGGCTCGGAGGAAGCCGACACGGCGATTGCGAAGTTATGCGCGACCAGAGCTGATTTCAGAGAGGCAGCGCCCAGAGGGGGGCGAATGCAAAGCAGCAGTCTATCTTCGGGCGACCACGCGCAGCAATCTTCGGGGGCGCCAGGAATGAGACGGGGGGGGGTGAGTCAGCAGCAGCGGGCAGGAGAGATAATGCAAGACATGGTATCCGCCCATCACAATACATCCAAAGCGGCACACCTGTCGGCGTTGGTTATACCTGGCGGTCGTGCGTTGCCCGCTACAAGTCGATCGGAAGTGCGCGACACAAATAAAAAGGGCGACACTGAAAGCAACGCTTAAATACGGGAAAACTGCATCACAATGCCAAACCTGTATTTCTGGCTGGAGCTTCCGAAGCCTGGGGGCCAAGGCGATAGCAACAGGGCCCCTGCTCAGAAATGCCAGGGACTTCAGCTCTCGGTGGATCTTACTCTGCAGGAGGGCCACGGCGGGGCCCGAGGAACACGAGGATCGGGGACCGCTCGCACGGGGAACGCATGGACTCGGCGATGGGCTCTCGAACCCAATCAGCCCTGCAGGGAACAGCCGGTCGATCCATCTCAACGCCACGAAGCTCGCGCCAGCGTTCGCATATCCTTGGGATGCTTCGGGCCCCAGGCATGCGAGATACATTTCTGCTTGATGTTTCAATTCGGCGGAGCGGAACTGGACGGGTAGGCCGATGTCGCCGGCGTGTGCCAATGCACTTGCTGGCGCCGTCCACCTTGGGCCAGCCGCGAGAAACCGGCGAGTTTCGCGCTCGGCGCGCAGCGCGACAGCAGAAGCGGGGAGAAACTGCGCATGGGGCGCTGAGCAGCAGGGGCCCGAACACGTTGAAAGCGCAAATATGGCGGGCGAGGCCCAGGGGCAGATCCATCTCCTCAAAAGCCCGCCAGGCCAAATAAGCGCCACAAGATGTCGAGCGGAGGTCCCGACCTGGAACATGGCGACGTGACTTCCCGCCGCCTGGAACCCCGGAACACGCGGGCAACCTCGGCCTCGTCGAGGCCGGCGGGGGAGACGACCCAGCACTTCCAGGTGAATCAAAAGCCCGGCGACGCATGCAGCTGCAGAATGCGCACACCCGCAGGGGTGCTCTGCAGCAGATCCTTGGAGGACTACTGCGTCGTCGGCAAATGCGAACGGTCTACCTGGATGCGGTCTCAGTGACTTCTCCGCATGTCAGGCCAACGGGTCGAAACGCAAAGCAAAGAACACACCGCTGGGCGGACGACCTTGCTTCGCCCCTCGGAGGGCCCTGAGGCCATCGAAAGCCTGGCCGCGCAATGCCGCCTCGGCGACCGCATTCTTATGCATCGCGGTAATGGCGCGCTGGAAATACCGGGGAACCCCGAGATGCGACAGGCAGTCGGGGATCCAGTCGCGGTTCAACGACGGGAAGGCAGCGGCGACGCCAAGCAGAAAATCCCTGTCCGCTGGCAGCCCTGAAATGAGAGGAAATCAACCCGCGGGGGCCGCATTTCCACGATGCAAACCAAGCGTGCCCCGCTGTCGAACCATGCCTTTCTGGGCTGCACAGACAGAGTGCCGTGCTCGAACAGAGAGGGGTCCGCCAGCGCAGCAGCGAGTAGTTCGTCGCCACTGTTGGAGAGGGAGATAGGGCGAAGTGCATCGGCGGCGCGAGATATCTCCCAGGAATGGGCCCACCTCCTCCTCCGCCATCCCCCTTCGGAGGGAACCCAGCAAGCGCGCGATTGACCCGGTCGTTCATCTCACGGCAGTCGATCGAGCATGAAGGGGCAGAGGGAGAACAGGCACTCGCGGCACAGCGCGCCGCCCTCCCGCCGCGCGCAGAATATCCAACGCCGCCAGGTCCCGGGGCAGACTCGTGCTCGGCTGAAACCGCGTCTATAAACTCGCGATACATGAGCCAGCGCTGGATGCCGGGAGATACCTACTGCACCCCCTGAAAGTGCCAGTATTTCACTTCCTGGCACTCAGGCCCCCGGGGCCTCTAAGCATGGACCTCGCCCCAGAGCCAGATCCTCCGCGCATGTAGCCCGGGGCCCAGGGGCTGCCCCCGCCGGGGTCAGGGGCGTGGGCGAGGGAAAGACAACGACGCTTCGGTGACCAAAGCCAGAGACGATCACGCAATTAAGATGGCCTGGGGGCGACGCGGGAGGCACGAGGGTTCTCGGCAAAGAAATCGCTGATCCGAGATCATAGAGATCACCGAACCGAGAGCCTGCTGTGATTTTCGAGGCCTCATCCGAGACCGGGGAAACGCGAAAATCGCCAGTCCTGGAAGTTCCAGTCAGCGCTCAAGAAGACTAAAGCCGCGTTGAGCCCCAGAGTGTGCCAAAGAATTTTGGAGAAGCTCCATCTTCAAACTGTGCTTTCGCTGCGGCTCTGCACGGGCGTCGATGAGCTGGGGGGGGGCCCCAAAAAGGCCGTGGAGTGTGAGAGATAGCACCCGGCGATGGTCCATCGCCAATAACCACGGATGCTTGTTGAATTGAGAGGCTTGGGGCTTGCGAGGAGAGGTGGCAACGCCGCCAGCGCGAGAGTGGAGGAAAGGGGCGAAGCGTGCAAAATCTAGGCAGGTGCGCTCGAGACTCGACAAATCGGAACCCGACCCTTGAATTTCTCGCTAGAAAGCCATATCGCTGTTGAGAGACAGTCAACGAGCTTTCCTCTGGGCGCGTTTCTGCCGAGACTCCGGACCATATGCTGCCCCGAGAAAAAAGGTACGTACCTGAATAACGCGATGCAAGGTTGCGCGCACAAAAACAGCGCTGGCCGCCGGCAATCACTCGCGCGCGCAGGAAGGGCGAGGGAAAGAAAAGGAAGAGAGGGGGGGGAGGACAATGGAGAAGCCCTCTGACACTGTCGGCTGCCTGGCAGCCCCCTGCGCTTCAGAAGGAGTTTCAACAAACACTGGAACGACAAAAACGCGGCGATCAGCGTCTTCGCCCGACGAGCGAGTCGGGCGAAGAGGGAACTTGACATGATACTGCATTAGCGCCCAACTCTGACGAGCGACCGTCCAGCCAAGGAGACCGTCGCGATGACTGGCTAGGCAGGCCTTGGATCAGCCCAGGGATTGTATCGGCGAGCTCCCGTGAGACGCCCAGCTCCCCGAGGGTCGTGAACTGCGGCTCGAACGTGAAGGTGCCGTCCACGGAGCCGACGCGCTTGACAAGCTCGTGCGGCTCGTCCTCGTGGATGAGATAGCACGCGCCCTGGAACGGGTTGCACCCAAGTCTCATCTCGGAATTCCACTCATTCTGACTATGTAATATGTCCTTGCTGATGGTCCAGCACTTGCTCATCGCGAAGCTCTTTTTACGCACCTCGATGGGAAGGTCTCGGCACACACGAATTTGGTGAAGGATCCCCGACCTCGGACCCCTTTCCAGGGAGGAGGCTGCACACGGAGCATGTCGTAGAAGTTGCTCTGGTTCAAACCCAGACGTGTAGGTCGCCTTGATGTTGCGAGTCCACGCTTGGTGTCTGTCCTGGTACGTTGCTGGCATCGTGCTCTTCATCGACTGGAAGTGTTCGTCGAGCTTGGTCTTCAGCAAATGTCTCACGGGAGTCCAAGGATCCAGATCCGTGTGCGATCCTGAGCGCCGGCCTCATCCACGATATTGATCACAACACTGCCGAACATGACGCATGACTTGCGCACAGGTCCGCTGTCAAAGGGCCTAACCGATATTGCCGTGGACGTTTCTTGTGATGCCGATGCCTGACTTATTTTCGATGGTTTCCGTATTCTGGGCGGATCCGCTGGAATCCTTGGCCTTGGCCCCAACGTCCTCCCCCATCACCTCCTCGGCGTAGGGGACCTCCTCGCGATCCTGGTCCCGCGAAATCCCTGGAGCATGCGGAGCTGCGCCTCGAGCTTCTGGAACCTCTCGTCGGTTTCAGCCGCCGCCGCATTCATGATCAGATCCAGCTCGTTCGTGGCAGCCTGGGCGCCCGGGACTGCCTTAGCCAGCTTGCTCATGGCCTCGGTCGATTTCTGGGCCTGCTTACGTCTAAGAGACGGCCATCGCTGCTGGAGAAGACACAAGCAACTGGCGAGCGATGGAACGAAGAGCCTGCCGCGACCAGGGCTGGTCTCCAACAGCGCTCGTGGCTGAAATAGCGGGCCCTGAGCCCAAGCTGCCTGAGCCTTCCCGTCGGCAGCGGTCAAAGTTCCAGTCCCATGGAGCAGGTTAGAGCCTTGAGCCAAAATGGTTTGAGCCAGAATGGCGACGGATGATGGTGATGTTGATGTTGATGATGACGATTGTGATACTGCTGAGGATGAGGATGAGGATGATGATGCTGATGATGATGGTGGTTATGGCGATGGCGAGGTGTGAGTCAGTGAGTCAGTGTAAGCGAGTGACTGAGTGAGTGAGCGATGCGGAGAAAAGAGGGGTGTGGGTGACAGGACTGCGCGGGGTGCCCAGAGAAAACAATAACACCACTTAGGATGTGAAGAAAGGTAAAGGGGCCCAAAGGGCATAGAGTACAGTAGGAGCTCGACCACAAGAAACCTTCCACAAGAAACCCAACCCTGAGACCCCAAGACGTCCATTGTTTTTTTTGGGGACGTCAAGCTTTCCATAGCGATACCATCGAAGCCCAAGAAACACAAGGCACCCTGGAAGCAAACAGGGCGTTTCTTGGCATGGGTTTCCACTGCATGCGCCCGCCAAGCCGTCTCAATGCCACTGCCGCATCTCCCCCTCGGACCCGTCATCCGCTCCCACCCTCCTGCCGCAGCGCCCAGCGACACGGCCAGCAAAGGGGGCGCGACGCTTTTAAGCGAGCAGAGGAGACGCTGCTCGAGATCCCAGCGGTGGCGCCAACGGGTTTCTGGTCGCACCGCACCCTGCCTTCCCTGGGCCCCCTTGAATGCCTCAGGGGTCGACGAGTCAGACGTTGGACTCCTCAAGAATCGAACGAAACCTGCCTTGCTTCACCTGCACGGTGAGTCCTGGCAAGCAGGAGCACGTCTCCACAAGCGTGTCTCACTCAATCTTGCAATATGCCCGTCTCCCTTCTCACTCTCCCTTGTTGTTTATACTCTCCCTCTCTCTCTGTCAATCGATCTCGGAACAGCATGCCGCAAGATGGACGCGAATTGCTGACAATCGATGTGGCACGTGTTCGCATGGACTACGAACCCCCCAATCAAAACATCTCACTTGACCGAATGCAGACCTCGATCCATTCAATCCGCAATGCGTCTCTACACTACGCCCTATGGTGATGCTTCTGGTACGTATGGTGGTCTGCTCTTCCCCGGATCCAATCTCAACAAATCCCCTGTACTTGTGCATGTTCTGGCCTCTCCACGCAACATGGTGCAGCCTTACTTGAAAGCCGCCTCCACGTCGGAATAGACGGCTAATTCCTTCCACAACGGCTGTTTGTTTTCTCATGAGATGAGCTGCCAAATATGTGAGTCGGAAGACTGTGGTGGAGCCCAGTGAATCTGAAGACGCGCGCATGTCGCACAGTTTGGTTGCAAGATGCGCGTTGTATATACACAGCTTCCCATTCACCCGTCCTTCATAACCCTCCACCCCTTTCATCTCTCATCCTCCCCTCCTTCCCCTGCTCCCTCCCCTAATCCCCTCCCTTCCATCCTTCCCTCCCTCCTTCCCACGCTCCGCCCTCCTGTGGCGAACAGACATCGCCACATCCCCCGTCGCTCCCACGGCTCCTCGCCCCTTTTGCCACAAGAGCGTACGCCCATCACCACGAGCCCCAGAAGCACGCGCGCGCGTCCCTCCAAACCGGAGGATGGAAGGGAGGAGGCAGGGGGGCAGGGGAGGGAGTGCAGAGGGAGTGTGGCGACCTAACGAAAACCCGAGTGCGAGCCCCACACCCCGTCGTGGGCCGCAGAGGGCCACCCGACTATTCACAGCAACTCTGTGGCAACTGAACCCTCAACCTTAAACCTTGAATATTCTAGCACGTACTATTCACTGCAAGTCTGTGGCCATCAAGGCTGGCCCGTGGCCGGCCAGGACCACGTGCACACGCGGCTGACAAACTGCACTGGCTTCTCCGGCTTCTCCATGTATACGCGGCGTGCCCGCGAATGCTGTGCCCCGCTACTTACTCGGCTACACGCAAGAGTGACCCCAGGCAAGAGTGACCTTTAGTGCGCGGCCAAGTGGTGTCGACTCTTACGTGTAATCGACTGACAGCAGCAAAAGGAGGACGCATGACACGGCCAGGGCAGTCTGCCTATGGCTCCCATCACACAGCAGTCGATGCGACCGGATGCGATGTTACCAATGCTGCGGGATCGTCAGACGCAACACCTCCAAGCAAACATCAGCCCCCACCAGCCTGTGCAACCCCAGGCACCCGTCGTTCCCGTTTCGTCGCCACCTTTACCCTTTGCTGCGCTTTCCCAGGGAGGACGAGCGGAAGGAGATGAAGGAAGGAAGACAGGTGAGAAGCAGAACGAGGAGAGGAATCTGAGAAGGAGGAATATCGAAGCAACGCAGCATGCACATCTCAAAGCGACCAGCAAAGAGAGGGAGAGACAGTCCGTAGGGCTGCCAGTGCTCATCCCGTATCCAGTGTACCTGCGTGGGCAAGGCTATCCATGTCTTTCTTCCCATATACGCCACAGTGCCCCGAGGCACGAGATGAAGGGTCCTCAAAGCATGTGCCTAATCTCTTAAGCATCCGCTCTCAATCCTGAAGATTCTTGAAGGGGCATGGACCACGAATTGCCAAATGTCGTTTGGGCTCCCCGCGCGCCCCCCGCGGCTCCCCACGTGCCGCCTGGGGCTTGTCGCGTCCTGTCGCGTGAATTGTTTCGGAGCCGCAAGGGCCCCAAGACGAGCCAGGAGGGCCCCAAGAGGCCCCCAAGACGGTCCGAGAGGGCCCCGCATCGCCGAACGATCGTTCCAAGACGCCCGAACTGGCCTCCAATCGGCCGAAAACGCGCCCAAGACAACCCGGGCCCAAATCTGGGAGCCCGACTCGACAATTCGAGCATTCCGTCCCAAGATGCCCCCAGGAGGCCCCAAGAGGCCCCCAAGAGGCCCCAAGCGGCCCCAAGAGACCCCCAGGAGGCTTCCCAAACGCCTCAAGGCTTCAAAACTGCCTCCAAGGAGGCCCCCGAGAGGCCTCCCACGACATTCCATCGAACATCCAAGAGGCCTATGACCCACAATCCGGGCACGGTGGCGGGATGGGCCGAAGGCCAGTCGATCCGCCGCCCCCTGTCGATTCATCGCAGGGGTGCCTGGCGTGCTGGATTTTTACAGTTTTGGTTCTTTGTCCTAAAGAACTCTCCCAATGGGTTTCGGCCCGTCCCGCCGGCCGCCCCCCAAGACCCGCAAGACGCACACGCCATCGCCCAAATCCCAATTCTTCCTCCAAGACGGCCCAACATGGCCTCCAGGATGGTCACGTTGGCCCAAGATGGCCTCCAAGATGGTCCAAGATGGCCTCCAAGTCTACCCAAGATTGTCCAAGACGGCCTCCGAGACGGCCCAAGAGGGTCCAAGATATCTCCAAGTTCGCCCAAGAAGCCTCCAAGACGGCCCAAGAGGCGAGGTCCTCCAGGAGGGCCCGAAGAGGCCAAAATCATTGATTGTCCGCAGGTGTTTGAAGGATTTGGAATGGGCTTCTTCTCGGCATTCCGACGGCTCAAGACGGCCCAAGAGGCCCCAAAGCTCGCCCAAGAGGCCCCCAAGAGGGCCCCATGACGGCCCAAGTGGCCTCCAAGATGGCCCCAAGAGGCCTCCAACACGCCCAAGATGGCCTCCAAGACGCTCAAGATGGCCTCCAAGACGGCCCCGAAGCGCCCCAAGAGGGTCCCCCGTTGGCCCAGAAAGGCCCCCAAGACAGCTCCCGACGGCGTCAGACGTGCGAGGAACCCACCACGATGGCCGAAGTTGGCTCGAAACTGGCCCAAGAAGGCCCAAGAGACCCCCAAGAGGCCCCCAAGAAGGCCAGAAGAGGCCAAAAACATGGATGTTCCTCCTAAGGTTTTTGACGGATGTTGACATTTGCTTCTGTTCGGCCTTCCGACGGCCCGAGATGGCCCAAGATCCCCCAAAGATCGCCGAAAGATCGCCCAAGAGGCCTCCAAGACGGCCAAGATGACCTTCAAAATGCCCACGTGTTCCCCGAAGGCTTTCCAAACCGACTCGGGGAACACATGGTCCGATGGCTTGGCAGGTCTGGCCTCAACGTTCGGCCACATAGGCGCTTCCACAAAGGCAGGGGGCGGCGGTGGTTCGCCGTAGGCGTCTTCGATAACATGCTATCGTCTCTGCTTGCTCCCATTCATCGGCCAATTGCCTCCTCGCAAGCCCCCCAAAGCAACCGCTGCAATGCTACAAAGACGTCGCCAGTGCTGCAGCTTCGTAAGTATCTGGGAAGGCCTAGGCGCACTGAGCAACACTTGCTATTCAGCTGCAGGCGAAATGCCGCAGACTCACTCCCTTACTGCACGTCCTAAAAAAATATCAGGATGGCCAGCGATGCACCACAACGGCTCCCATCACTGCCCTCACCAAAAACCGGATCATTTCCATCGGCATCCAAACTGCTTACTGCGTGCTCTAATGAGTCTCGTGTGCTTGCACAAGAGATACTCTCGCTGTACCGCTCAAGCCTATTTTTCGTTGTTTCGTTGGACCCTCCACATCTGTCGTCGAATAGGCTACTCCAGGTGGTCGACCAAGGCATGCGCCAACGAGCCCACAGCATGCCCCTCAGTTAAGCAAAGGATTGGTCCTGGACGCACTAAGCTGGATCAGCGCTACCCCGGGTCAGTCGAGGTCATGCCCCGAACCCAGACGAGCCACGAATAAGCTCAGCTCCACCAAGGTCAGCGGAGGAAGGAGAGGGGAAAGGCCGGCTCCACCCAGCTCAGAAACCAGTATCGGCCAGAGGGGATCAAAGATAATTTGCCCACCCCGTGTTAGCGCGCTGACCCCGATTACGTTCGCCCCGACTCCCACGCTCGACCAGCGCCCCGGCAGCGGCACTCGTAAGAGAAAACATTCACGTTCAGTATGCTGCTGAGATCTTTGAAATACCTGCGGGCAGATGCGCTCGGCGCCGTTGGGAGAAGAGGCGGCCGCTTCCAATTCTCATTATACGTCCTACTCCTCCTCCTCGCACAGCGGGACCCCTCGTCCTCTTTCATCCTTCCTCGGTCTATTGTACCTCCTCTTCTCCTCCTCTTCCTCCTCCTCCTCCTCCTCCTTCCCAGTTGCACCTCTTTCGTCGTCCTCCATCATCCACTGCTCAGGGTCGCTCACGCCGCAAACCAGCCGTAACTGGAGAAGCCATGGTCCTTAATGGAGTCTCACCACTCTGGGCGTAAATGGTCTAGATTGGTTTCTCGTCCAACCCCATTCCTTCCCCTTCGGGGAAGGGCTTACTCCTCCACTCAATATCAAATTATCCCGGCAAAGCAACCTAACAGCGTTGTGTAGGAGCATATCTGGAAGCATTCCCCTTAAGATTCAGATAAGGATCCTGTTGTAGAATTCTGCTGTTCTCGCAGTCGTGGTCGCATTCGCGATGGCAGTCGCAGTGGCAACAGCAGTCGCAGTCACAGCCTCAGCCTCAGCCTGCCTCAGCCTCAGCCTGCCTCAGCCTCAGCCTGCCTCAGCCTCGCCCTCAGCCTGCTTCAGCCTCAACATCAGTCTGCCTTCAGCCTCGGCCTCAGCCTGCCTCAGCCTCAGCCTCACCCTCAGCCTGCATCAGCCTCAGCCTCAGCCTGCTTCAGCCTCAACATCAGTCTGCCTTCAGCCTCGGCCTCAGCCTCAGCCTCAGCCTCAGCCTGCATCAGCCTCAGCCTCAGCCTCAGCCTGCCTCAGCATCAGCCTGCCTCAGCCTCAGCCCTCAGCCTCAGCCTCAGCCTGCTTCAGCCTCAGCCTCAGTCTGCCGTCGGCCTCGGCCTCAGCCTCAGCCTGCCTCAGCCCTCAGCCTGCATCAGCCTCAGCCTCAGCCACAGCCTGCCTCAGCATCAGCCTGCCTCAGCCTCAGCCTCAGCCTCAGCCTGCCTCAGCCTCAGCCTCAGCCTGCTTCAGCCTCAGCCTGAGTTTGCCTGCAGCCTCGGCCTCAGCCTCAGCCTGCCTCAGCCTCAGCCTGCCTCAGCCTCAGCCTGCCTCAGCCTCAGCCTCAGCCTCAGCCTGCCTCAGCCTGCAGCCTCAGCCTGCCTCAGCCTCAGCCTCAGCCTGCATGCCTCAGCCTCAGTCTGCCTTCAGCCTCGGCCTCAGCCTCAGCCTGCCTCAGCCTCAGCCTGCATCAGCCTCAGCCTCAGCCTCAGCCTGCCTCAGCATCAGCCTGCCTCAGCCTCAGCCTCAGCCTGCCTCAGCCTCAGCCTCAGCCTGCTTCAGCCTCAGCCTCAGTCTGCCTTCAGCCTCGGCCTCAGCCTCAGCCTGCCAGCCTCAGCCTCAGCACCTGCATCGCCTCAGCCTCAGCCTCAGCTGCCTCAGCCTCAGCCTCAGCCTGCCTCCAGCTCAGCCTCAGCTGCCTTCAGCTCGCCTCAGCCTCAGCCTCCTCAGCCTCAGCCTGCATCAGCCTCAGCCTCAGCCTCAGCCTGCCTCAGCATCAGCCTGCCTCAGCCTCAGCCTCAGCCTGCCTCAGCCTCAGCCTCAGGCTTCAGCCTCAGCCTCAGTCTGCCTTCAGCCTCGGCCTCAGCCTCAGCCTGCCTCAGCCTCAGCCTGCATCAGCCTCAGCCTCAGCCTCAGCCTGCCTCAGCATCAGCTCTCAGCCTGCCTCAGCCTCAGCCTCAGCCTGCCACAGCCTCAGCCTCAGCCTGCTTCAGCCTCAGCCTCAGTCTGCCTTCAGCCTCGCCTCAGCCTCAGCCTCAGCCTCAGCCTCAGCCTGCAGCCTCGGCCTCAGCCTGCCTCAGCCTCAGCCTGCATCAGCCTCAGCCTCAGCCTCAGCCTGCCTCAGCATCAGCCTGCCTCAGCCTCAGCCTCAGCCTTTGCCTTCAGCCTCAGTCCTCAGCCTTCCAGTCGTCAGCCTCAGCCTGCCTCAGCCTCAGCATCAGCCTGCCTCAGCATTCAAAGTGTGGCCCGGGATTCAAAATGTGGCCCGGGAATGGAGTTCTGGGAACTCGAAGAACACGAAGTGGCCTACAGTTGGCTCCGGGCATTCAAAATCATGCCCAGGAATGGAGTTTCTGGGAACTCGAAGACCACGAAGTGGCCTACAGTTGGCTCCGGGCATTCAAAATGTGGCCCGGGAATGGAGTTCTGGGAACTCGAAGAGCACGAAGTGGCCTACAGTTGGCTCCGGGCATTCAGAATGTGGCCCGGGAATGGAGTTCCCAGATCATTGATTACCGGATTTTTCCGGTAACGACCGACGTTACCGGTCGCGACCGAATTTGCTCGAAATTCCAGGAACGGAGCGGTCGCGGAGCATCGGTCGCCGATCGGTCGCGCATCGGTCGCGCATCGGTCGCGGATCGGTCGCGAACGGTCCCCGAGCGCCAATCGTCACACCCGAGCGCCAATCGTCAGATCCGATCGGTCGCGACGAATAGTGTAACGACCACAGTGACGAGCGCGAGGACGACAGCGACGGCGATGACAAACACGACGACGAGTACTATAATGACGTCGGTGATGGTGTAGTTGATGATGCATGTCATGAGCACCGCGACGATGATGATGAGGCTCATGAGGCTGGCGACGATGAAACTGATGACGTTGATGACAACGGTGGTGAAGCCAACGGCGACCAACATGATGACCATGATGACGATGCTGATGATGATGCGGATGATGATGATTATGAGTATGGTGATGGTGGTGGTGATGATGATTGTGATGATGATGATGCTGATGATGCTGACGATGATGGTGATGATGATGATGATGGTGACGCTGATGATGGTGATGACGATAATGATGATGATGATGATGATGATGATGATGATGATGATCATGATGATGAAGATGATGATGATGATGATGATGACGCTGATGATGGTGATGATGATGATGATGATGATGAAGCTGCGTCGGCTCAAGTGCCGCGGGGCGATGGTGAACGCCCTCACCCAGGGCCGAGGCCCCTCTCGTGGCGCGCTCCCTTGGACCAGGGCACCGCGAGGCCCGCGAGAGGCCGTCGTGGGCGCCGCGGGCCTGGCGGGTGCCAGCGGGCTGGGCATGGCCGCGCCTCTCCGAGGGGCAGCCGTGGCGAATCCCCCCCCCGAGGAGGGCTGGCGGCGCTCCTGGTGGGGCCCCCACCCGCGTCCTCCAGGGAGGTCGCAGTGGCTGCGGGCCGAGCGCGACGCGAAGGGCGTGCTCGTCGCGCTCGTCCTCAAGTGGGGCGACGACGTGTCCGCGGGGCACGTCGTCGGGTCATTCGGGGCCGAGCCCAGGGCCGAGCCGTCCGTGGAAGTGGCGATGATGAGGGTGGTGGTGGTGGTGGTGATGCTGATGCTGATGATGATGCTGATGATGATGCTGATGATGATGATGAAGATGATGATGATGATGATGATGATAGGGAGGGTTGTGATGATGCTGATGATGATGATGGCGATGATGATGGCGACGATGATGACGACGATGAGGACCATAACGATGGCGATGGTGGTGATGATGGTGATGCGGAGGATGATGATGACGATGGTGACGGTGACGACGAGGACAAAGGAAGGGTGATGAGAATGATGATGATGCTGATGCTGATGCTGGTGATGATGATGATGATGATGCTGATGATGATGATGATGATGATGATAATGATGATGATAATGATGATGATGCTGATGATGATGATCGCGAGGAAGAGGAGGGGGATGAGGAAGGGTTGGAGGAGGAAGAGGAAGAGGAGGAGGAGGAGGAGGAGGGCGATAGAGGAGAAGGAGGAGGAGGAGGAGGAGGAGGAGGGGAGGAGGAGGAGGAGGAGGAGGAGGAGGAGGAGGAGGAGGAGAGTTGACGGCAAGGGCGTTCGCCGCGCAGCCCGCCCGCCAGCCCTTTGTGGCTCGAGGTCCCAAGGGCCTCCTCCGCCCCCCCCCTGGGAACAGGGACCGCCCCCCTCGAGCCAGCCTCCATGGCGGCTTCCCCGTCCCCCGTCCCCCCGCGCGTGCCACTCCCTGCTGGGTGACGCCTTCCTGGAACACATCCAAGCTGAGGGGGTGCGGTCCGCGTTCAAACTAGGGAACTACGCCTTCCTCCACAAGGATCACGCCGTCCATGGCCCGTCGATGGCTGCCATGGCGCCCTTGGTGGCCCACGCCCAAAATCGCGCAGCGCCCCCGTGCCCCCTCCCCCACTGCGAGACGGTGTTTAGCAGGCGCCGTTGCAACCAATGTTGGGAAGAAAGACCTGCCGTGACCCTCCTGTGACCTACCGTGACCCTCCCGTGGCCTACCGTGACGCGGTCGGGCTTGGTCACGGTAGGGTCACGGCATGGTCACGGTAGGGTCACGGCTTGGTCGCGGTAGGGTTCGGTCACGGTATGGTTAGGCCACGGAGGGGTAGGGCCGTGGGTCACGGTAGGGCGAGGAAGGATGAAGATAATGATGAGAAGGTAATGATGAGGTGGAGGAGGAGAGACGGGGGGGTTGCGAGGGATGATCATGGCGACGGTGATTGCGACGATGCCGAGGAGGTCGATCATGGGGGAACAGGAGGGACAGAGATGGAGAGAGAGAGAGAGAGGAAACTTGACGAGGGGGATGGGCGGTGCATGCTGATGCTGATGTAGATGAGGATGGGCAGGCGGGCGAAGAGGGCATGGAGGAGGTCTCAGGTAGACCGCGGCAAGGTCAGGTAGGGCTATGTCACGGTAGGGTCATTGGCTGGGTCCATACCGCCCCCTGCCGTGACCTACCGTGACCCTACCATGACATACTACCGCGACCTGCCGCGGCCCTACCCTATTAGCCCCCTACCCGATCAGCCCCGCCTATCCAGCCCCGCCCCCCCCCCTCCCCCCCCCCCCCCCCCCCCGACTCACCCCCGTCGTCATCATCGCGCCCATCACCCCCCCCTATCCCCCGTCCCCACGCGCGCACGCACGCGCGCGCACGCGCACACGCACCCCACACACACACGCACACGCACACGCACACACACACACACACACACACACACACACACACACACACGCCGCACGCACGCACGCACAGCACGCACACACCACACACACACACACACACACACACACACACACGCGCGCGCACGCACGCACGCACGCACGCACGCACGCACGCACGCACCCGCCACCCCCCTCCTCCGCCCTCCCATATCCATCGTTCCTCCCGTTGCCCGCCGCCAGGTACCCCACCGCCGCCAACGAGCCCCCAGGCACCGTGCACCAGCGCGCGGGCTCGTTGGCGGACAAACTGAGCTGCGCCCTCAAGCACTGCCGCCCCATCCGCGACAACCAGACGCGCCGCCGCCAGGCGCGAGGAGGGGAGATGAGGGGGAATTTGGATGGGGTGGCTTGCGGTGTAGGATGAATTCGTATGGGTGGTTGGGGATGCATGTGTGAGTTGGCTAGGGCGATCGTGGCGTGGGGAAGCTAGGTCCATGCATATCGCGCGGATGTATCGTCTGGCGCATATGTGATACCATGCCGCTGTCAGATCTGACGACGACCAGACGTCAGACCGATGTCAGATCTGACAATGGTCAGACGTCAGACCGTTGTCAGATCTGACAACGGCCATACGCTAGGCAGTTCCATTGTAGGTCGATGATGTGTCATCATACTGTAGTGCTGATACCATATCTGAACACGGTCAGACGTCAGAGCGTCGTCAGATCTGACGACGGTCTGACGTCAGACGTTCGTCAGATGCGGCATCCGCGCATATATCGGTTTGATGACACTGTCGTCACGGGGAACGTTGTGCTGGGGATGGCGACGAGTGCGTTCGTGTGTGGAGCGATGGGTGGAAGGGGGAGAGCGGGGGGGGCAGTTGGCGAACGGGGACAGCCCAGGCGCTTGCGGGCTGCTCCAACACCGAGCGCGACCAGCTGATCTACATTTTGCACCTCCTCGGCGTGCCGCCTGAGACCGACAGGATTTTTTTGTTGTGTGTATGGGGGGGCACATGCACGCACGCCTATGCATACTCCACACACATCAGTACATATATATATATATATATATGTATATATATACACACATATATATACAGTGATTCACATGTGCGGGCACACTCATAGACACACGCACGCGTACGCATGCATGCAAACATTGCCATGCGTGTGCACGACTGTGTGCGTATTAAACTATGCATGTAAGCGTACACGTGCATAGCTATAGATGTGCATGCATCCACATGTGCACGTATATTCATACTCACACATGCACACGCAAACACATGTACACACATATACACATGTGTATACAACCATGGGCTTCCGCATGTGCAAACACCCCACATTGTCATATACATACGTGCGTGGTGTATGCACGCACGCCTGCGTGCACATATTTGCGCAGATGATGCGCGAGCGGGCAATGTAAGAGGCGATTGGCATGAGGGTGGCGAGGGCGGCGCCGACGGAGCGGAGGCTGGCGGAGGAGGGGATCAGGATGTCTGTCGCAGTAGAGAGGATTTGCCATGGTGCAGGGAGCGGGACGATGATGCGGAGGAGGGTGAACATCGGGAATGTACACGCTGAGGACATGGATGAGGGTGATGACACGGTGGATGAGGGTGAAGCGATGGATGAAAGAGGGCCAGCCTACCTGAGCGCACCCCCCCCCCCCCCCGCGACACAGCACGCCGCGTCGATCATCGTTCCCGCGGCCACCGACGGCGCGCCCGTCTTCGGCCCCTCCATCGGCGTCGCCGAGCTCTGCCGAGGAGGCAGCGTTTTCGTCGTGTCTGACGCGTGTGTGCGCACGCGTGAATGCGTGTGCGTGCGCGACGTCTGTGCGCGCGTGTGCCTGTGTATGTGCGCGTGTAAGCTCTGTCCCGTCATCCTCCCCACCAGTACTGCCCTCCTCCCTCATCCCATCCTCCGCCTCCTCGCCTGGCCCGCATCCCTTCCCCCGTGCTCCTCTTCCTCGTTCATCATCCTCCTCCGCGTTCTTCCCTTATCCTCTTCCTGATCTCTCTGCGGGTGCCCCTGAAGGGGTTGGGGGTGCTAAGGGCGGGGATGTGTGAGGATGCCGACGGGGATGGCGATGATGAGGTAACGAAGATGTTCCGACGGGGAGGCGGAGGTGAGGATGGCGATGAGGAGGAGGATGACACGAGGAGGACGATGGGGAGGAGGAGGAACACCACAGGGGCGTGCAAAACATGGGAGGTAGGCCTATCAAGTAAGAGAGAGGTGTCGATGATGCACCAGGGGATATAACGATATATACACAGGGATTGAGTTATACTTGATGTAGTGGGGAGACGGTATATTAGGATTTGTATGAACTGTACTATATGTAGACATATCTATGTAGATAGGAGATCCGATGAATATCGAGAGAGAGGGGGTGAGGTACAGCCATAGGGGAACTATACATAGGGCGTAAGATGGAAGGCGCGCATGGGACTAGGAGTAGAGTAGAGGGAACCAACGGCCGCCCTCAGCTGACCCCTGCTGTTCCTCTTCAAGATGACATTCCCGAGCCTGGGCCACACGGTCGCGATGACGACAGTGGCGAAGGCCGGCATTTTGGGAAGCACGGGGTGGGGCGACGACGACGGCGACGACGGCGACGGCGACGACGACGGCGCTGGCGTCGTCGCCGTCGTCGTCGTCGGCGTCGCCGTCGTCTTCGTCGTCGGCGTCTTCCCCCATTCGCCCCTCAGTCCTCCCTCCGATGAACGGTGGGCCCGAGTTGCATTGTTCACCCTCGTCGCGCGGGCAGCCCCCCTTCCCCCCTCGTCGGCCCAGGCGACGCTGACGACCACGCGGACGACGCGACCCTGTCCGACGAGCAGATGAAGGAGCTCGCTTCCTCTCTGCGGGGGGATCAGAGCAGGATGGGAGGGCGACGGTGACAGGCGATGAGGGGATGGAGGGGGAGGGGCAGGAGGAGGAGGAGGAGGAGGGGGGGTGGGAGGAGGAGGAGGAGGAGGAGGCGGAGAAGGAGGAGGAGGAGGAGGAGGGGGGCTCATATATATATATATATATATATATATATAGATGTGTGTATATTTATGTATTTATATATATACACATACATATATATATATATGTATATGTACATATATGTATGTGCGTGCGCGTGTGTGTGTATCGCAAGGGGCGTTGATATGGATGAAGACGGGGCACAGGGGTTCGGGATGTCGGTGGGGGAGGGGCTAGGCAAGGGGCTGGGCGCGGTTTCCTCGTTGCCCTCGCCCTCCACAGCCCCTCGCCATCCTTCCCCAGTTACATGGTCCGAGGATGTCTCAGGCGAGGGCCTCATTTTCGACTGTATGTCCAGCGATATCGGCATCCCCATGGTGCGAGGACGCCTCAAACGAAACGTGCATTTGAACATCGACAGTCGTATACGATGACCTCAAAAATCCCGACGCTGCGAGGATGTCTCAAGCGAAGCGCTCATGATGCAAAACGTTAGGGCATGATCGGGTAGCACTGTCGTCGTCGTCGTTCGTCGTCGTCGTATTCGTCGTCGTTCGTCGTCGTCGTCGTTCGTCGTCGTCGTCGCCGTGGTCGTCCCGAATCGGCGTGGTTGTCGTTCGTCGTCGTCGTCGTTCGTCGTCGTCCTCGGTCGTCGTCAATCGTCGTCGTCGCCGTTCGTCGTCGCGCGCCGAAATTCTTGACGCTTCGCGTATCTCCACCAGCCCATGCATAATTGATTGCCAGCTTTCTTGAGGCCTCTTCGGGGGCTATCTTGAGCCATGCTCGGCTATTGGCTGTCGGAGGCGATCTTGAGCCATGCTCGGCCATCTTGGGCCACCTTGAGGCTGTCGCGAGGTTTCCTGGAGGTCTGTCGGAGGCTATCTTGGGCGATGCCTGGTTATATTAAGCCATTTTGAATACATAGTTGCCCATACATGGCCCTCTTGGAGCCACATTGGGCCACGCAGGGCGGGGCGGGGGTCGTTGGGGAGAGGCTGGGGGGCATCTTGGGGCCATATTGTGCCCCGTGGCTCAAAAAGATGGGGCCCCTCAATTAGCATCGCCCCCGTCGGGGGCTCTCAAACAGCATCTTGGGGCCATCTTGGAGCGCTCGTGAGCGCCTCTTGGGCGACCTCGGGGCTGTCATCGGCCGTTTTGTGCCCCTCTTGGGCATCGCGTGGGCAATCGTGGGGCCATCTTGCGGCTTCCAAGGCCCATCGGGCGCGAAACTGCGATAATGCCAAACACTGTGATGGCTCCTAGGCGTTTGAATGGTTTAGCCATCTTGGAGGGCGCCGTGGAGGGCTCGGAGGACACTTGGAGGGCGCCGTGGGGCTGTCTCGGGGCCTCGTGGGGGGCATGTCGGAGGCTATATTGGCCCATCGTGAAGTGGCATGGGCCATATTGGAGGCCACCTTGCGAATTCGAAGCCCTCTTGGGGCCTTATTGGACCATCTTGGGCGCCGCGGTGCCCCCGCTCCCCTCCCCCCCCCGCCCGCCCGCCCCCCGCCCCCCTCCCCGGCCCAGGTGAGGGGGTAGGGGGAGGGGTAGAGATAAGAAACAAACGCGTTATAACACCTAAGCCCAGAGGGCTGGTGGGATTGCACTCCCAGTTGCTGTTTGGGCGCAAACTTGCTTGGCGCGCCATCCGACCAGTCGCCCCGCGCCGCGCCCGTCGAGATGTCCGCCCAGCTCCAGTCGTGGATCCCGCCCGCTGGCGTGTTCGCGACGAGCATCAACAAGCCGATGCTCCTCGACGGCCACGGTGGCATTTTTTCGGAGGCAGCCGACATGGTCTCGCGCTGGTCCGTGCCCAGGTGCTTGCTGGCCACGACTGCGCAGGTCGCGGGCAAGCACGAGGGCGACGACGACAAGGCGCCCACGGAGGCGGCGCCCGCGGAGGCGGCGCCCACGGAGGCGGCGCCAACGGAGGCGGCGGAGCAGCTGGCGGAGGAGATGGCGGAGGAGATGGCGCAGCAGCTCCTGGGCGAGACCCCGGCCGCCGCCGAGCCCGCGACGCCGCCCGAGATCGGGTCCAGGCCGCCGCCGCGCTCGTGCAAGCGGGTGGAGCCCACGCCGACGACGTCGCCAGGCTCGTCGTCGGCGCGCACTCCGCCGTCGAAGCGGTCCAGGATCCAGCTCAAGACGCGCAGCGAGCAGTGCTCGCCCATCTACACGCCGAACCCGCTGTGCGACGACATCCTGATTGCGCCCGTGCAACCCGCCACTGTGGTCTCGGCCCCTGCTGCCGAAGATGACGTCGAGGTTGTGACGTACCCGCCCGTGCCGTTCCCCGACGTGGTGATCAGTTCGCCCCCGCGCGTGGTCAACGTCGCCATGCGCAGTTCAGGTTCGAGCGGTTCGATCGACTCTGGGCGCACTGCTGCTACGACCCCTCGGATGAGGAGCCCAAAGGCGGACGTGCAGCCGAGCTCGCCGTCGGACGACAGTGCGGGCGTGGACCTCGGCGACGTCGAGTACATGATGCTCGCGCAATGGATCAAGCATGGCGACGATGCGACCGACATGATGGCAACGGTGGTTGCTAGCGAGATTTTCAATCGCGCGAATTAGGATGGGGTGGCTATCGCAGCGGTACGCAGTAGCCAGTTAGTAGCATTGCCATACATTGGGGTTCAATGGTGGGTTGGTAAGATACGTGTCTATCATTTTGGTGCGTGCTGTCATTAGCATGCGCGCCGTCATCTAGTGTCCAGCACACCTGGTAGTTCGAGGTGCTACGCGTACGCGACGGGGCCAGCGTCGACAGCGCCCGTGTGATTTCTAGTGTGGTCGGCGCTTGCGTTTGCCCATGCTCGCCCATTTGCAGCCGGCAATTTCGGGCTAGCTCTGAAAAGTGCGGTCACTGTCCGAAACGGGTGGTCTCAGGCTTACAAATGCACAGGCGCGTTATGTCCACTAGAGCAAGGTGGATCCAGTCGTGGCCACGAGGGGTCAGTTATGTAGGTATCACGCGTCCCGAAATCTAACATCAACATCTCATCATTTCATCCTCGTCACCTCCAATCGTGCACCTCTTCTCAGCACCCCCTCACCCACCTCGTCTTTTTTTAGCGGCAGAGGCGGAACAGGGAGATGAGATGGAATATTGTAATGCTGATGGGGAGGAGGATGACGAGGAGGAGGGGGAGGCCGATGAGGAGGGGGAGCGATGCGATATGGATGAGGAGGGGAGGGCAGGAGGAGTGACAACCTCAACCTCATCCTTCTCGTCCTAGAGGCTGGGAGGCGGACGACGCGGCGAGGGAGCAAGGGGAGCGAGGTGAGGAGGATGAGGATGAGTATGAGGATGATGAGGATGAGTAGGAGGGTGTGGAGGCCGAGTAGTATGCTGATGATTGGTGTCAAGGAGAGACGTGCCCTTCTCCGCCACCCAAAGTTCAGCCCGTCACCCCCCCTCGCGCCTGGCCCCGCTGTCCCCGCGCCGCCCAGGAACTGGCGAAGTGGATGAAGGGCGACGGCGTACACGACGTGTCGGAGGACGAAGCCGACCTGCTGACGAAGGCCATCCACTCGGTGCCCGTCAATCCCATCCCAAGAAGCGGGAGCTGAAGGCGGCGCGGGGGGGGGGGGTCGCGATCGTTGTCAGAGGGGATTGGTGTTCTGGGAGGATATGGAGGGAGTATGGCAGCGTCGATTCACGTGGAGGACAAGGTTGGAGTGGCATAGGTGGATGTGGATGATGATGATGATGAGGATTACGAGGGTGAGGGTGATGATGATGATGAGGGTGACGATGGCGATGAGGATGGAGATGATGAGTGTGGCGCCGATGGTGAGGAGAAGGATGAGGACTGCAACGGCGCAAAACGAATTGCTCTCCGCAGGCGGAGGTCAAGGAGCGGAAGAAGGTCAAGGCCGTCGCGACCCCGAAGGCCAAGCCCAAGGACGTGATGGCCGCGTCGGGCGAGAAGGACAAGAGGCCGTCGCTGGGCGACGGGCTCGTCCGCTCGCTCGGCCATCCCACCCTCGGGGAGCTCAAGGTGACCTACGCCTCGAAGAAGAGCTACATATGCTCTCGCGACTCCGAGGGGAGGCCCCGTCTGTTCGTGGAGGTCACCGAGAGTAAGTTCGGTGACCGCCATGCTTCGATTTGCGAGGGGATTTTAGTGGCGAGCTGCAGGAAGGGACTCAGTAAAGCTGATGCAGTGAGTCTTCGCACGAAGCTCTGCCAGAGTTGAGCACGGTTTTCCGTGCGACCAGCGACCTGGGAGGATCTGGAGTCAGGGATGATTAGGATAGCGGTGGTGAAGAGACGATATGGGAAGAGGAGGACGGAACAGGGATGAGTAGAGGAGGAGGGAGGAGCAGAGGAGAAAGAGCAGAGGAGGAGGGACGGGGTCGCGTTTGCTCAGAGCTGAGAGACGCGCTGCAGGGGCACATCGTTGCCACGCCTCTGCCAGCGCCGCCAGCAATGCACGCGCCGTGCCGCTCATGGGGTGTTGAGCGTCATTCGCACGGGCCGCAGGTGAAAAAGTCGAAGTCTCGCAGCGGCGGCGCGTCGGATCCCTCGAATCGAGCAGCCGTCCACCCAGCCATCCCATCCCAACCCACCCTGCCCACCATCCCCCATCCGATGTGGTGCATAACGAACGCACAGGGTGTCTAAGTACTCCAGGATCGTGCCACCATGGAGGTCGACTTTCAGGGCTCGTAGGTCGGTCGTTCAGGTTGCTGGCGCCCAGGTTGGTGGCGCAGTGCTTTGTATTCCCACCATTGATGATGGACTGTCCCCGTTGTCCCGCCCTCCGAAATGTGATATCGACCTGCCGATCTGTGCTGAACACATCTGCCAACCGACTTCCCAACGCCAGGGGCACACTGCTCCTCGTATTCCTCCTCATCCTCATAGTCCGCATCAGCCTTATCTCCCTCCGCATCATCAACACCAATCCCCTCAATCAGCATCCGTGTCACATGTATCATCCATTCCACTGTTCATAGGTCAATGTCGTAAGCATCGTCTCATGTGACGATCGGCGTCACCGTCGTCGTGACACGTGGCCCGTGATGATCACATCAGTTCAGTGTTGTAGTGCACCACATGATGGTAAAGTGTAACTAACGTTATGTCGATATGATGTAGTCGCATCGTTAGATGTCATGGTCAATTTGAAACACGTGATAATATAATTCAACACCCACGAAAACATACAGTGTAAGCACACATATAGTGTGTTTCGTACATGACACGTATACAATTATTGTTCGAATGCGCATACATGTTTCAATTATTACGTATCATATCTATAGGAATACATGGTTTTCGATTTGACACCCACACGATGGCATGTACAGTGGTCTGACAATGATCTGACGTCAGACTGTTGTCAGATCAACGTGTCTGACGTCAGACTTGTCAGATCTGACAAGTCTGACGTCAGATCGCTCAATCTGACAATGATCTGACGTCAGAACATTGTCAGACCAATAGATATGACGTCAGATCGTTGTCAGATTGCAATGTTATTACACATATGTACGCGTAGTGTCGATATCTTAATATTGTGCAATTGTTCATATGAGTTCGCACACATATGTGACATATTGTATGTACATGCGCATACATTTATATTATTACTGACCAGAGCAAGAGCATCTACTCACCTGTTATTACTAGAATCGCAAACTGTTGTATACAATCTGGCACATCCATGCATTAAGTCATACACTATGCCACTAAACTAGATACGATAATAACTGGCACGATCACCAGTCAATGACATGTATGGTCCATGCGCGCACGCACGTGCATTCGTCTGACCACACGGTGTCCAGTTATGTTCACGTGACTGATGTGTGATCGTCGCATCGCGATTGCGATCTCGGCTCTGTTTAGTTTGGGGTGCGCGCGAAGCGCAGCGAGCCTGGGCTGCGGTCGCACCAGGACTCTGTCAGACCCAGGGGCCGAGGGGTGCAATGGCACCGAAGGGGAAGGCCCCAACGCGCGGCAAGCCTGCAACGCAAGTGATCAAGAAGGACCCCGATATAATCAACGTGATTGTGTTGTTACCCCCTCCCCCCCCATTACCAGGCATGTGGTAATGTCGCCCCCCTCTAAAGACGATGTGGACAATGTACAATGGGGGGCGATGTCCGATCGAGTTGGATCGATCGAGTTCTGAGGACAAGCTGAAGGCTGACACCTCTGCCAAGACGGCGCTTGGCTATCCAGCGTGGCCGGGGCAATCGAGATGCCCGATTCATGTCCCCATGTCCGACCAGAGTGTACATTCGGAGTTAGTCGTCGCAGTTGGTTTTGCCACAAGCGCTGTGGCGTCAAACGTGGTCACTGACCCCCCGTGCCCCGCTTGCCCCCGAGGTGGTCCGACGAGGAGATATTGCACGAGGCGAAGGGCAAGACCACCGAAGAGAAGAAGACGCTCTTTCGGACGCAATTTTCTTTGCTTGCAGGTAGCTCGCGCGCGCGTGTACGTGCGTACGTGGGCGCTCAGAATGGGGGCCACGGCGCGGGGCGGGTATTGGGGTGGGCGCGGCGGCACGGAGCGGCACGGCACGGTGTTAGGTTGGCACGGGTGCGATTGATCGCGCGTTGCGTTCGCGCTGTTTTGTGCATTGGCAGCGCCCTCTTTGCGTCTAGTTGCATGCGTGAACCTTCGGTGGTGTTGCCAGGCGTGGACGGGCGGGGCTGGCGTTTGCAGGTGTCTGCAGGCATGCGTCTCGCGCTGCAAATGATTGCCGCCACTAGCTTGCACTCCAAGGCGGACAACATCGGCTTGCTGAAGCAGTTGTTCAGCCCCGCAGAAGTGAGGACGAGTTTTATTTCATGCGTTGATCAGAGCACGCGTTTGCTCAGGGGATGCATGAATTACGAGGACATGGTGGAGGGTGGCGGGCGGTTGTGAGAGAGCGATGACGGGGAAGATTGGGGGGGGGAGGGGGGAGGGGCGCGTTTGAGGAGGGCAGAGCAGATTGGGGGATCCTTCCACCTCCTCCCACCTCAATTCTTCTCCTTCCTCCCACCTCCGCCCTCCATCCTCCATTCTTTTCCTTCCACCTCCTCCCACCTCCATCGCTCATCCCCATCCGTTGTCGGGCAGACCTGGCTGTGTGCATCATTGCCGCGTGCCCCCTTCCCCTCCGCTGCGCACGCGCAAAACCATCATCCAGGGCGCCCTGCGGCAGGTTCGCCACCGCGCGCACCCACAGCGAGGAGGCCACCAAGCAGTGGGAGCAGGTCGCACATTTGATGTTTGCGGTTGGTATGTATTGCGGGTGCATGTGCATGCGTGTACGTGTGCGTGCGCGCGTGCATTTGTGATCGGATGTGCCATGCGCGTGCGGGCGCGCGCGTGTGTGCATGTGGCTTTGGGCGATTTTTGCATTGACTGTTGGGTTCTGTGAGTCGCATGTGATCGAGCTTTTTCGTTGGGCGCAGCTGACGCATCGCTGGGCGTTCGCTCGTGACATGGGGAAGCGGACCAGCCCCCATCGCCCCATCCCTTCTTGGGGCGACGCCGCCAGGTGGAGTCGGGCGGCGCCAAGGACACGAAGTACAACACGAAGGCGAAGATGCTGGCCGCCTACATCGTGGACCCGACGCTGAACGACTTGTACCAGCAGGTGACCACCAGCATCCAGTGGAGCGAGACCATGACTCGCGAGTCGGAGTGGATGAGCAAGAAGCAGCTCTACGACACGCACGGGGAGTCCGAGGCCGAGGAGATGATCGCGGAGAACTTGGTGACGGATCGTGGCTTTTTTTGCGGGTGGGAGGAGTAGGGCGTGCTAGACAGATGTTGGACGAGGCCGGATTAGGTGCGATGAGGAGGTCAGTTGATGTAGGATGGTGATGGGGCGAGATGATGAGGTTCGGATGAGGTAGGATCACGCGCCATGTCACGACCGCTGTTCTCCATAATTTGCTCGATGTGCTGATGTGCGCGTCGGCGTCGGTGTAGTGTTGGTCGGTGTCAGTGCGCTCGATGTGCTGCGCAGTGACGTGCGTGTCGGGATCACTCGGCGCGCGTATGCGCGGGCGTTTGCCATATCATCGTGCCATGCCGTATTCAACCATTTCTCCAGACTCGCAAGAACCCGCAGAACCCGCGCAGGAAGCAGTACATGAAGGCGACGGACAAGCACAGCAAGTCGTTCGGCCGTGGCAAGCAGCAGATGACAACGGGCGGGAGGAAGATGGCCCGCGACGAGTACGACGAGATGTCTGGCGCCATGGACCGCATGCAGATGGTGCACGACAGGGCTGCGTACGGTGGCGCGGGTCCAATGTGTTCGGCCGTGGCTCTTATCCTTTGCATTGCGCAGTCTGTCGTCGTCACGCATTATGCAATTCTTGACGCTTCGCGTATCCCCACCAGCTCATCCAGAATTGAGTGCAAGTTTTCTCTAGGCCTCTGTGAGGGTTATCTTGAGCCATATTCGGCTATTGGCTGTCGGAGGTTATCGAGAGTCATTATCGGCTGTCTTGGGTCATCGTGATGTTGTCGTGAGGTTTCTTGGAGGTCTGTCGGAGGCTATCTTGAGCGATACTTGGA